GCCCAAGGTCTTCATTCTCACAGTCCCTGTGTCTGCCTTCCAAGACTTGGGTGCTTTGGTCAGAGCATTTGCCAGTGAAGACCGAGGCAAAGAAGTCATTCAGAACCTCAGCCTTCTCCAAATCCCGTGTAGCCAGTTCCCCTGAGAGCTTCCTGAGGGGGCCTATGTTCTCCCTAGTCTGTTTTTTATTCGCTATGTACCTGTAGAATCCCTTCCTGTTATCTTTAATACCCCTAGCCAAGTTTAATTCTAACTGGGCCTTAGCTTTCCTAACCTGGTCCCTAGCTTCCCGGACAACATCCCTGTACTCTTCCCACATTGTCTGTCCTTGCTTCCACTTATTATTAGCCTCTTTTTTCATTTGAATTTTCCTCAGCAGCTCCTTATCCATCCAAGGAGGTCTCCTGGCCCTCCTGCTGCACTTCCTTCTAGTTGGGATACAACACTCCTGAGCTTGTAGCAGGTGATACTTGAATATCAACCAAGAGTCTTGCCCCCCCCTGCCCTCTAGGGCTTATCCCATGGAACCTTACTAAGCAGGTTCCTGAAGAGGCCAAAGTCTGCTCTTTTGAAGTCCAGGGCAGTGAGCTTGCTGCACACTCTTCTCACTGTCCTGAGGATCTCAAATTTGAGCATCTCATGATCGCTGCATCCAAGGCTGCCCTGGAGCGTCACATTTCCAACGAGCCCTTCCCTCTTGGTGAGCACAAGGTCAAGCATGGCACCTCTCCTTGTCGGCTCCTCTATTACTTGTAGAAGGAAGTTGTCTTCTACACAATCGAGGAACCTCCTGGGTTGCTTGTGCCGGGCCGTACCGTCCTTCCAACAGATGTCAGGGTGGTTGAAGTCACCCATGAGAACAAGGGCCTGCGAGCATGAGGCTTTTCCTATCTGTCTATAGAGTGCTTCATCTGCAGGTTCTCCTTGATCAGACAGTCTGTAACAGACCCCCACAGCAATGTCTCCCATAGCTGTATTCCCTTTAACCCTGACCCACAAACTCTCTGTGGACTGCTCACCTGCCCCCAGACAGAGTTCCATACTCTCCAGCCTATCCTTAACATAAAGGGCAGCTCCCCCTCCCTGCCTGCCAGGCCTGTCTTTCCTAAAGAGCCTGTAACCTTCCATTCCAACACTCCAGTCATAGGAGCCATCCCACCATGTTTCTGTGATGCCTATTATATCATACCCCTGTAGATGTGCACACATCTCTAATTCCTCTTGTTTGTTCCCCATGCTACAGGCATTTGTAGAGAGGCATCTGAGCCGAGCTCCAACTGAAGCCGGCTCATTGGCTGGAGTGGCTGGGATATCTCTACATTGCTCCGAGCATTTATTATAGGTGCTGGCAACTGACTGGGTGCATCCTTAGATGCAGCTCTTTCACTCAGATCTCATTCCTGTTTTGAGCTCTGATTTTAAAGCATGCCACATAGGGCTGAGTGATCTTACAATATCTTGTATGTGGCATGTGACATCTGTTGTTTGCCAAATGTACAAAGTAAAATTCTAGAGTTAGCTCTTTAATACTTCTGACTGGCACATGCTTTGCATGCTGTAGGAGAGATGTCATGAATTGCTCATGAGATGCCTTCCCCTTTAGAAGGCACACAGAGTGGTTCTGTGAGTGCACTGGGGTGCCAGAAAGGAATGTTCCTCTTCACTCCTCCCATTTCCTCTCTTGCTCTATCTTGGCTGATCCCGTTGCTTACCTTTGGCAAGTTCTGAATGCCCAGTAGATTTTTTTGGAACCACTTTAACACCAGAATCAACAAGTGCCCATTTATGATTTCAAACAACTCAAACTAAGCTCATCAAGAGAGCTGCCTCTTCACAAGTTGCCTATGACGAGATCCTTACAGCTCAGAAGTAATTTGCCTTTCCAATTCATGAGAACTCTGCAGCCCATTGGATATTAGGAACTCCAGCAATTAGCTACTTTTCCTTTGAACAGACTCGGGGATTTTATGTTTGAAGCAGAGATTTGTCAGATAACTCAGAGGAGGCAGTATCTTTTTGGTGTGATTTCATGATGAAAGACTATGCTTACTTTAAAATTGATTTGCAGTCTTTCTTCTTGCTCTTGCACATTGCCCACCATTTCCCTTCTGCCATCTATGGCCCTTCAGAGACCTTTAGTGCAGGCAATCCGACTTTCTATTCCAGCAACAAAAATGTACTTGGGGTGGCCGGGTGGGTGTTAGTTTTCTGCTAGTTGAGTTAATTTAGTTTATGGGCTTCAAAAAGGCCAGAAAAAGGCTAGAGCTGGCTCAAACCAACCAGTACAAAATACTCCTTTGGAGCATGCCCTGTGTCTACAGTCATCGTTCAACATTTCCACATGTGAAATAAGACAGGATTCCTTATTTATTTAATCCATTCTATCACACTACTATTCCTTCAAGCCCTTCTTAAAACTCACTTTTCCCTCATGTTATTTTCCTTTTTCTTTCAAAAAATATGTGCTGATATGCACACAGGCTTCTATTGCCTCTGTTTTATCCACTTTAAGTGTAGAAAATCATCTGAACAATTACTGTGCACTGCCAGTGTTTTGTCAGGTATCCTATACCCAAAACTAAATGATCCACCTGATCCACAAATAATAGGTATTAACATGCCTACAGCTTTTTCACTTGATTGACAAGATACATAGGATCATAGAATCATAGAATAGTTAGGGTTGGAAAGGACTTTAAGGACTTTAAGATGATCTAGTTCCAACCCCCTGCCATGCAACACTTTTATCAGGGGACATCTACTTCCCAGTATGCACATTATTATAGTCATGCTTTCTACCCCCTACAGACCAACATACAACATTTCTATCCTTTGTATAGACTAATGAACTCAAGAAACAGTTGATTTGGTTATTATTTCAAATCCCACCCCCCCCCCCCCCCCCCAATTTAACCGAGATATTAACTTACTCCTTTCCACTTTTAACTACTTAAAGACTTGTTTTTCTTGTGTGTGTGCAGAGTAATAGTAAACTTCCATTTACTTTACATCCTTACCTACACAAGACTTGAGTCAACATCCTTACACTGTGACACTGGGAAAAACTGAATTTTAGGGCAATAAAAAACAATGTGTAGGAAAAAGCTTCAGAAAACCTCTCCCTATTTTCTTCAAAAAGTCTATGCTTATATAAAGACCAGCAGTTTGATCATAGTAAGTAGCATAGATCTTAGTGAAGTCACCAGGTGTTTCTCACTGCTTATTTATAGCCTGAAATTATACTTCCTATTGAGCAATATTGTGTAAAACAACTTCAAAATACTGTTTATTGCTCAATAATAATTTGTAACTTGAAGCCACAAAGCTGAGAACACACCCCACTGCCACTGAAAAAGTGGAATGTGCAGTGTGTGTTCAAATCACAACATTTCCTTCATAGCCAGAACTAGATAGCCACCCGCTCCTCCTGCATCTTCCAGCCTCTGACTGGCTGGGCTCTTGCTGAAGAGCGAGCGAGCACACATGTGATGCAAACATGTTCCACTGGAATGAATGTCTGGATGTGTTGGCCAAGTTTTCTGGCTGGATGGATACAGTGTATCTTTCAGCAGTGAAAGAAATGTAAATAAGGTTATTAAAACTGAAATTTTAAGTTTGTGTAGACAAAATTTGAATTTATCTTCTATTTAAAAGAAAAAATACTCCTGCTTACATTGATACTGTAAGTCTCCAGCAGTTTACTGTTTAAGAACAGTAAAATCTTCCCCATCCTCTCACCCCAAAAGACAGTGGTAAAACTGTGGGAGAATTTCCACTGCTCTGCAGAATTTCTTTGCCCTTCTTGGACACGTTCCTAATGTTTCACTTAGTTCTCTTCATGTTGAAACTACAAAAACTTTGTTACTGAGTTTATGAAAAATTACTGTTGGAAGCTGTTTTCTCTGTCAAATTTCCCCATTAGTTTTAATACCATTAGCATAAGTTGATAAGAATTTTTTAGATACAGTCCAGTGCCCTTATTTTTGCAATATTTAGCTCTAGTTTAAATATATTCACAAGCAGTTAGATAAGCACCTCTGTGGTGCTCTATCGTTCATTATCTGCTTTTTAACTTTACTGATAGCATTGTATTTTTCTTTCCAAAATTTCCAGTTTTTCCACTGCAGTGTGTCTAATTTAGTTGCTTTCTTAGAATTAGCCAATGTCGCTAACTACAAAGACAGTTCAAACTCCAGTATTCCTCTTGGCCTCGAGGACCAACCCTTACACTTAAGACCTAGCATACTGTTCATGTTGTTAAGTATAATGGGAAGCATTTCAGTTAGTACAAGGCTGAACTCCATGCGATAGAAAGTTTATACACTCTATGAAAAAAAAAAAAACCAAACCCAAACCAAAACGCCACTGCATCATAAATCACTATGTTATTTAGGCAAAATAATAAGAATGGATTTAAAACGTATATTTTCCAAGATGATTTACATTACGTCTGGACTGATGAATTGCATTTTAACGATGCTTACACTTTCTCTGGCACAAACCCCGTTCCTGGATCTAGCTTCAGTGGTATTGAACTTTCCTTTCTCCTCTTGGGATACGGGAGAGAGCCAAAAGCAAGGGAGCCAAACGCAAGAAACTTTCCTAGGGCAGCATTTCTGGCACTGCGATTCTCAACTTGCATAAATTCAGGCTGACTAGGAAAACACAGCTCGCAAGCGTTACTCCAAGTGCAAGGCAATGCCAGGCCAGGGTAAACAAGTGCTTGCAGAAGAAAAAAACCACCATATAGCAGTTTTGGCTTATTACAAGGAACTCTTTGTCCCTTCTCGGGGAGTGCTGGCTTCCCTAAACCGTTCCGGCCCGTTCACCGCGGCGCGGCGCTCCCGCTGTCACCGGCCCCGGGCCACCCCGGCGGCTGCGCCGCTTCCCGCCGTCCGGCAGCCCCGGCCCCACGCAGCCCCGGCTCCCCCGCGGCTACACGCCGCTCCACTCCGCCCCGGCCCGGCCCCCTCTGTGCCAGCCCGGGGCCCTTGGCGCACCGATGCCCTGGATGAAGACGAAGCCCGTGATGATGAGGACGGGGTGCCAGTTGAACTCCCTCACGCTGCCGTCCCAGCTCAGCCCTTCGCGGTAGTGGAAGACCCAGACTAGGGAGAAGATGACGGACACGAAGCCGACCAGCAGCGCCGAGACTAGCAGCGCCAAGAACCGCCCGTAGTCCTCCATCTTCCGAGCCCCGTACACGGCAGCGAGCTCCGCGAAGGAGGGGCCTCCCGGGCGGCCGGGCGGGGTCGGGTGCGGGTCCGGGCCGGTGGAGCGGCGGGCGGTGCCGCCCCGAGACGCGGTGTCCGCCCGGCGGGGCGGGAGCAGGCCAGCATTCCGCGCCCCTCCGCCCGGCCAGGCGTCGGGACAGCGACCTTCCGCGGTCCCGGCAGTGCTTTTTCAGGAGGAGGGTCTTGCTCGGGTTTTCGGGGTTGGGTTCTTTCCTTAAGCAGTTTCCATAGACTTACAGAGAGTTTCTCTCCGTCGCTTTCAGAACTCCGCTTTAGAAAAGACGTTTCAGCGTCGGCCCGTCCCAGGCCAGGGCGCCGAGCCCGCAGCTCTCCCTGCCATAAAGATAAGCCATCGCAGCCGTATGTACTAAAGGATAAAGCAGGAACGTTGCTGTGATAAAGAGGCAGACAGAGCAGACAGAAAATGCAGAGCAGGAGCATGCTTAAAGACACTGATGGACTGCACTTGGAGCATGCATTCCGTCATGACTATCCCCTTTACTTCCATGTGGATTCATTGAGTGCTGTAAATGTAAACCAGATACTAACCAGTTTCATATATGGACTCTGGCCTAAGCATGCAGGAGTATTTGGGCACTGTTCTGTTAAATAGCATCAAACATATCAAATGTCCACTAGCTAAGAAAGAGAGTGCACAAAAATTAAGACAATCCAACAACGTGGAAAGGCCCGGAGCAGGGACATGAGAGAGAAGTAGAAGAAACCGAAACAGAATTGCAAATGAGACAACAGGCAACACTTGGCAAAAATACAGCTTCATAGAGTAGACCAGTTTTGTCAAATTATGTATTCGGTTGCCTTTTCCTTTGCTGTAGAACATTCAGCTGGTTCGGAAGCCTGTCAAATGTAGTAGGAGGATATGCACAAACAAGTATGCAGTGCTACTTTGCTGGTATTTGATTAGCTTACTTTTGAAATCCATATAGTGTCAAAATACATATGAATTAGAAATTCATTAACTGTTTGAGAGAAAAAAAAACCCTGTTCACTCTGGCTAGTCTTTGAGCTGTCTGATGTCTCATGCTCAAACTGAGACTTAGAAAATGAAACAGTTTTATGGAACTTAGAATACTTCCAGTAGAATATCTGCCAATTCAAACCCAATACTTACTAAAGTGTTGGAAACATCTACATAGAGACCTGAAGACCAGGCCAGATTGGAGTGGGGTGCAAATGTATTTCTTCATTATTCTGTCTAGTATCCTAAAAATAGATGTTGGGCTCTGACATTTCAAGGAAAAACTTGGCTTGAGCATCACTTTACTGATATTTAGCTTTAGGTTGCATGAATTTGGTGTGACCTGCTCTCAGGATTTAAGTGGTTGCTCATTCTAGTCACAATGGTGACTGGAACACTGATATTGTTAAGTTTCACAAGTCACAGCATCTAAGAGAAGTGAACACCTAAGCCCTGAATCTTCTCATGAATGCACTCATGCATGAACTTCCAAGGATGCCAGACTGTCATGAGTGAAGCAAGCAGGTCGTCTCAATATTACGTTCATAAAATTTTACCAAGTTTTGTGTGGACTGCTTTAATTAAGTGAATCTTTCTATTCTTTACTTGCAAACCAGCATATAATAAAACCATAAATCTGCCTCATTATGCACAACAAATGTCCTAGGCTTAAACAGCACAATTCTTACACATGATCAGTTTTGGGATATTTTTACCTGTTAAAAATATCTTTTTCTTTACTTCTCTGGAATCCTTTTCTCATTGTCTTTTAAAAAATCAAATAATTTCTGTTGTATATTCAAAAATTCAATGTTTCGTTAAAAAGCATAGCAAACCCTTCAGATTTCTGTTGATGTTTTACAGATCATAAAGCATCAGTTTCTTAGTGCTTCTCAGTTCCATACAGGGAATCACAAAATTGTTACATGTAATTCTAGAAGAAGGATTCATAGTACCCAAAATGTGTTCATTCTTTCCAGGCATATGAGGTGGTCTAACAAAATGTCGTTTGTCGCTGTAAAGCCTTCAAACTAACATAAAATAAATACATATTTTAATCTACCTTCTATGAACCTAAGTCTCCAAATTGCAAAATACTTCCAGTTCCCTTTGATTTCAGCAAGCTTGGATTACATCCAGTCACCCCAACAGTGTGGTGCTTCCTCTTAGCAGTTCTGTCAGGTCATCACCCAGTACGCACTTGTTTGGGTTGCTGCTTTCTCAGATATAGGAGTAGGATGGCTGTGACTTCAGACCTGGAAGGACCTACAAAATAGACAAAATAAGACTTACAAACCAGACAAAGATTCACAGGTTCTTTTGAAGAGGCAGCAATGGACTCCTGCCTGTATTGCTCCTGTAGTGCATGGATACTTGGAAACTTCTGTCACTGTTGCTGTACGATTCACATACTTTGAGAGCAGCAGCCCAGATATAAATATACAGGACTGTTTATCTAAGCAACACACCATATCACCATAGACCATTATTCTGTGCTTTTGATAATAACATTTTACATACAGGAAGTCTTTCTAGTTTCCAGCAACCGGTAACTTGACTTCTCAGAACTGTAGTTAGAATGAAGTTAGAGTCTTTTTTGCCAGCTACATCTTTATCTCCTTTTTTCCATGCTGGACAAATCACTGAAGATCCAAACCTTAGAACAGGACATTCCAGACAAGTTACAGTGTCTCTTAAACCTCTTGGATGCGTTTTTCAGCAGCCTTTGTAAACAACAGAGCTGCTGAAATAGTCCAGCCAGATTTATTCTGGCAGCTGATTTAAATGACTTTAGAAATAACCCCTCAGAAGTTATCTTACTAGGAGTGATACTGACAAATGAGTTCAACTAATTAGCATTTCAATGGCACAAAGAAACCAGAATGATCCTTTTACTTTTTGTCACTGAGTTCCATGTTGAAGCAGCAGAACCGTTTGACCTTTTCTATTGAGGGCATCACTAATTTATCTTTGCAGAAATTCTGACTATGGAATGGGACCCTTCCTAGAAATAATCTTTACCTACTCTCCACCCTGGAGAGAGCTTTCGCTGAGACAGAAGAAGGCACATAGGGCAGCTTTTGTCCAATTCTATACCAGTTATAGGCCAGTCATTGTTACCTGTGCAATAAAACTCTTTATTCTCTTTTGATCTATAGGCTTTTGCTTCCATGAGTTGTAAAATATTTTTCTAATAATTTAAGGTCTTTTGTAAAAATTCTTGAAAATTACAGAACCATGGAGCAGTTGTTGGAACTGCCAAAGGAAGATTATAGAATTTTACTGCTTGCCCTTTTTATTTCACTTTCTCATTTTCTTCCCCACTGCTCAGCAGCCTTGTCAGTGAGTATGTACTTAATGACAAAAGAAAGACAAGATGTGCACTCTTTCTATGCTCAAATACATCTTATCAAGAGAAGACAGTCCCTCCTATTTTTTCAGTCCCTAGGCTCTGACTGAGAAACTCCTACATTTATCAAATACAGAAAAAGATGGGGTAGCACTTCTGGGATCCCATTTTTGCTTCTCTGTCCCGATAGCTGATCACTGAGATGTCATGATGAAGTAGAAGAACAAAAAGTGATTTTGTTTAAGTAGAAAGGCTGGCAGTAGAAAGAAGTGGCAGTGGTGTTATGAAGGGCCAAAATAGGAAGAGCATAGTGTGAACAGCTGGTAGTTTCCTAGATGTCTGCCCCAGAGCATAGAAATATGCCACAATCACGCTGCAAGTTGCGTGTTAAGGGCAGGCAACACACGTACATACCCAAAGGTCCAGAAGATAATCAGGAAAACTGCCAATGTATGAGTCTGAGTGTGAGGCATCCAAGTAAACATGTTAACAGAATAATTTTCCCATCTGGCTTCTGGCAAGCAGCTGTTACTGGGGACTTGATGGTGAGCCTGCAATCCTGTGGATCACGTGGAGTGCTTTGCTTCTCCTGCAACATCTCAAGTAAGCCAGAGCTCTTGAACCAATCTGCAGAGTAATTCCAGTCAATTTTACCTTCCCCCTCCAGGCTTCCTTTATCTCTTCCTGAGAAGAATATGCACTTACTCTTACCTAAAAATATAATATTCCTAAGAAGACAGTATTCCTTCCCCAATCAGGCAGGAATAAGGTATTTGTACTCTCAGCTTACTAAGTAAGTTGTTAAGCTATACCAACCAAAGCAGTTGTTAACAACTGTATCATTGTAAATCTCCACTCTGGTAGGATACCTAGTTCCTTTTATTTAAAACAAAACAAAACAAGACAAAATGCCTACTTTTGCAGTTCATTTTAATCTCTTTTTATTCAAAGCAAGCACTTTGACTACTTTAAATTTATTTCATCTATGCATCATTAGAGTGTGTTAACAGAAAATTCTTTTGGCACTCCTCAAGGTCATTTTGGTTATAATTTTGTAACTTCAGTAAAGCAGAAATAAATACTAAAGTTACAGTTGCGTAAATGCCAAGTCTAGCAAGCGGAGAGTTTCAAGTGGTCCTCTCTGAAAATCTGAGGTTGTGAAATTGCTGCAAAACAAAGATGCTCCCTTAAATATCTCTAACATTTATTTAAATACTGGAATACTTGTTTCCTTCTTTTAGTACTCATAACCAATTCAGCCTGTGTATGATGAGAGACACCTGGAATTCATGTCTATACACAGAAACTTTCTGCAAGTCTGCACAGGGCTATTTGACAATTGTGATACTGTTCATCCATTCTTCAAAAGTAACATCTTTGCAGGAAATGCCTGAACTCTTTGTTGTAGCAGGAGCTAATTAAAATTCTCCGGTTCATGGAGATAAATAAAAGGTTCAGAGAAGGTTCAGATATGCCATGCAATTATTATTAATGAGGCATTGCTACGTACACATCCAATCAATTCACACAACTTCCAGAAAAAGAGCTCTTTAAAGGTTTTGTACTGGTGACTCTAGCAATACTTGGGCAGTTATGAAAGAATGCAGTTGCTGTTCTATAAATTCTTTCGTGGTTCAGCCTTAGAAAACCACATTGTGACTGTATCTTCCCCTTTTTCACTCACATCATTTAGTTTGGTACATACAGAAAGCTTGTATCAAACAACCATAGGTGAAACACAACATGAATTCATTAGTCGATGACCTCTTTACTTACTAGATCAACACTTTCACTTTTGCAGGCAGAGTGCCCAGAGGCTTTGCTTGTAGCAGCTAACAGCAGTTCCTCACAACTGTTCTTTAAGAAAACACCCAGGCTATGTGCCACCCTTTACAGGTGTCCTTTCTGGCAGATACTCCTAATTGCAGGCTTTATCGTAACTGGAAAGCAAATTAATTTGTTTATTAGCTGTTCCATCGCGTGGGATAGCTGTCACAGTTCCGTAACGAAGTTTCTTGCTGGTGAGTTTTTGGCAGTCTTCAGTTACTGTTAAGTAATATAAATGGTATTTTTCTCAATAACAAGAGGAAAATAAAAACCAAAATGAGAATGAGCAAGAAACTGTGCTGTTAAAGTAACCAGACATATCCAGGAAAAAAAAGAATAAAGAAACATTTCTCCACTTGAACAACGGAAAATGTTTGGGTGAAGTTACCTAATTGGGAACGTTGGCAAAAAGAGGCTAAGATCCATTAAATGTTTCAAATACACATTTGAAAATCTTTACTCATGTTAATAATTCACATACATATATATTTACATTTATATATATGAGTATATGCATATATTCTTTTTCCCTTGGGCATCTAGTGTTAGTGATAATAACGGAAGCATGAGATTTTCAGCTTCAATCTCTTCAAGTATGCCCTTGGTCCAGTTGAAACTGCATTTGATGTCATTACTTGAGGCTGTGTCGGCAGCCTCTGGAAGCCATGACATGAGTGGTAAGCACCCCTGAAATACACAGGAAGTAAGGGAACTCAGAATTCCACACTAATAATTCCTTAGTCTGATTTATCTAAAACAGAAAACTAGCAGTAAATGGCTTTCCTTGTCATAAGGCAGTTAGGTACTGCCTATGAAAAGTGAAGAATTTTTGTCTTCTGTATTTTATTAATGTTAATTTCTGAATTTATAATTGGGAAGTAAACTACATTTGATGAAGTTTTTCAAAGCAATTTTCTATTTTTTTTAAATCAATTTTGTTTCTCTTATACTAATGTCACACTTTGGTGCTTGCAAAGATAAGTATGCTGGGCATGTGCACAAGAATATTTATTCCTCTGTAATGAAAACCACATGAGAATCCTCAGAATTTCTCCACTTCACAAATCCTGTTATTCTTTAGCATACTGAATTATTCAGATTGTGTATGAGATTTCCAAGTACCTAATTTACATTATGAAAAAGAGAAAGATAAGTGCTCTAGAATCATTGTACATGGACATAAATCTGTAGGTCTACAGGTCAGACCTAATGCATTTATTCAAATTTCAGAAGAATTGGATACTGCACAATAGTACAGCCATGTCCGCAACATACAAATCTCCTGGCAAAGTAACATACTACCTTTTTCTGGTGGATGTGTTTTGTTTAAAAATTTAACTTGAAATAAAAGCTGTTGATTGAGGTTGGCTGCCACCAAGCATACTGGTATTCGTGTTTGGTTTGGATAGAGGGTTATTTTTCACAGTGTATAAAAATACTAGCTTGTGGATTTTCCTCCCATTTAAATGGAAGAACAGAAGACAACACTGCTGTTCACATATTGAAAAGCACAACCCGTAAGTGATTCTGCTTCTCTGGTGTGTCCCAGCTGTGAATACACTCATAGAGGTATTCAGGGATGGTCATTCTGGATTCCTTGTTCTTAAATAGCTTTAGAGAAACATCTCTCCTGTTTCTGGATGAAAATATCTACACGAAACCTTCCTGGATAGCACATCTGCCACTACCTGCAGTGCAGCAACACAGTATGTATTTGCAGTGACAGAATTTTTTAGACAAGTCCCATAATCTTCTTCAAAGCCTGGGCTGCCTTTTGGTCATTACAATTTGCTGCATTCTTCAAGATGGATCCCAATGTATAATTGTTAATTTAGCAGAATATAACTGGAAATATCTGCAATATTTTAAAAACAACAGTCACTGGAACACTACAGCTGATTGCCATGAGCAGTACTTGCACTACTTAATAAAAAATGAAGCTTTTATGGCTTGCTTTGGGAGGAACTGCTTTAATAATCCAAACAGAAATGAGCATGAAATATCAGTATCTGCTTAAGAGCTGGATCTTCTGATCAGAGTATAGATTAGTATTAGTTTTTAGCCTCAGATCTTCTTTACATATCTATATAAATAGCAGATAATGGACAGGTGCTCTTTCCTGGAGAAGTGAAAACTTACGGAAGCTAGGGTAGAAATAGTGTTGTTGCTGCTCTCCATGTCTGCTGTTCTACCTTCTTAGATGTTGTTTTTGTGCTGCTTTTTTCTTTCCACAATTGCATTTCACTTTTTCTAAAAACTCACAATACGTAATTTTTATAGATCTGGAGCTCTTCACTGTTGCATCAGCTAGAATGATCTACTCTTCATGAGTAAAACTTGAAGTGAAAATAAGTATTTGGGTTTACAGTTACCGTGCTGATGACAATGGTGATGGTAATAAGAAATAGGCCGTTGGTCATCCCTCCAAGAGCTGCTCTTCTCAGCCCATTCTTGTCTTGCACTTGGAAACACTTTACAACCATGAAGTCTACAGCCTGGATTTTGTTGTTGTGTTGTTTTTTGTTTTGTTTTTTTTTTTTTAATTTAAAATGAAAGCTTGCATTCTGCAGAATCTGAATATACCACATGGAACCCTCATGCATCCCATGTGACAGGCTTCACATAATGATCAGGCTGGACATGTGGTAGCTTTGTCTCATACTGAACAACTGAGCCTTGACACAGGATAAAACAGAGAATCGCTTGGTGTTACATATATATATACAAATATAGAAACAAAGATATATATAAAAAAGGCAGTAACAATACATAATTTATTAATACTTCTCTTTAGACAAAACCAAATGTAACCAGAAAAGTTAACTGATTTTATTTCTCACACAAAACCAACAGAAGAAATTTGTCTAAGCTGATTAATGGTAACTGCCATTTTCATACTACATATAAAACTTATCCTATACAGTTCTACATACTTTGTTTAATTAACAGTCTGTATTAAAAGTGGCATAGGTGAAACTTCATAAGACAGAGTGCTGCAGATGGCAGATGATCTGTAAGTCCGCATCTTTCCTTGATATCCAGTATTTCGGTCCAGTTGTTGAAGAGAAGCAATAAATGCTGCATCTAGCATTAATGATGAACTGAAAAGCACCATGGACTATGGACAAGTGTGCAATGAATATTACAGGGGAAAAAAGAAACAAAACTTTATGCAGTAGTACAAAATGTTAAGATTAAATCCTGCCTTAAAAACAGTAGTTGACTACTTCAGATGTATGAAGTCCTTAAATAACATCCAAATTGAAGTCTCTGTCGTTGTTCATGGCTTAAATATATTCAAAAATTCTCCCTTCTTTTTTACAAAACACCTTTTCTGTTTTTTCATGGCTTGAACATTCATCATCTTCTGCAGTACTGCAGACCATTTGGTAAACGTAACAACTGAACCTCCTGTTAGGCTTCTGTTCTATATGCAGGACAAGGTCCTTGTCAAAGTAAACCTCATGACTGTAAGTCTGAAATGAGAAACAAACAACAACAACAACAACAACAACAACAAGTCTTCAGTCTCTGTTTCCAGAACTCGCTATACTCACACCATTATTCCTTTTCCCTTGGGGAACAAAAACATATGTAACGATCACACAGGAATTGGTAAGTAAATGGGTCTAGAGAAGTGTTAACATAAAAGACAGGAATTCTCACCACATCCCAGGACTCCAGTAATGGAATACTCTTAAGTCGAATCCCACGTTCATTACAATGAAAGTCGAGGTGTGCTCTGCCATCAGCTCCTATCTGAGTAACTGCCACAATGGATAATAAATCCAATTCATCTTCATAGTCCACAATTTTGAATGTCTTAGAAAAAACAAAACCTCAAGTTTACAAATCAAACAAATTCACCTAAATTACATAGCTCTTATTCTTTCAGGTGGAAGCAGAATTGGAAAAAATGTTAAGTCTTCTGGTCTGATAAAGAAAACTTTGCCAGCCTGATATCCAACAGACATCTTTCCCAACATGAGTTATCTAACGTAATTCAGCAAAATTCCTTAAGACAGGAGAGGAGAAAGTGATCCTAGAAGAAAAATCCTGATGTGCAAGTATTTTATATATATCATACAGGAAATAGAAAAAAAGAGTCCTTTGAAAGTGGCAGAAGAAACATTTAAACTCCATGCCCTCTTTTGAAGCAGACAGAGACAGCATAGCTTAAAACTGTGACTGGTTTTGAGGGGATAGGGATCTTAGGTAATTCCATTCACATGACCACCTGTTTGCTCTTCTTGGAACTCTCTCGCTCCACAGAGTACACGGCAGTGAATAACTGAGATCAAAAGGTGAAGACTGTGAATTGCCTTAATTGCCTCTATCTCACTGTCATAAACCTCATAATACACTCTTTAAACTCAAGCCAATTGTTTTCTTCTGTAACAAAAAAATATCTATTGGAATCACAAAGTGTAGCAGTAGGGAAAAAATAAGAGTGCAGACTCTAATTTTTATTATGTTTTTAAAAAAAAAAGTAGATAGAAATGAATTGCAAATCTTAAGGGTTATATTGGACTGTCCTGTATTTTTACCATAGTAAAATCTATTTCTTAAGAAAAAAGTGACTGCCAGAAATGAATAAATTTTAACTGTTGTGCTTATGTCAATTACAGCTCCAGCTCTAGATAGCTACAAAATATTCTTCATAACCTCTTGAAGACTCAGCACCAACACATATAGTATTTTCACTCAAGAAGCAGTTACTTAAAATGTTAAATACCTTATCCCGAAATCCAATCAAAGTAACTGGGAGAGAAAAACATAATTTAGAGATATTATATCAAAGACTAGAGGAACCTAAAGCAGAGAAGAAACAGAAATACTTTCTTTTCATAAAGTGCTTTAAAAGGAATATTTAAAAGAAATGTTTGAAGAAGTAAGTTCATCACACTAATATATCATTTCTATGCCACAGAAGTTGCATGGAGTTATGACAGTATCATGGGGCATAAGATCAGTTCTTAAAAACTGATGCCAAAGCACAAATGTCAACCAAGGAGAAAAGATGACAGAGAAGGGAAAATAAGTTATTAGAAGTTAAGAAGACAAAGACAGTCACAAAGACGGAGGAATAAAGAACTCAAAAGATTAACACATCTAATGGTTACAGCCACTGCACCTGAAGTAAGAATGACTTCTGTCTAGCTAAACTTCTTAATCCATAAACTGCTCTGACTCACTACATCAGTTACCTCTTGTTCTGGGTCATCATCCAGCAGGTTAAAACGCTTTTTCACCACTCGACCAGAAGCTGTTACAGTAATAGTGTTATTTACCTTTGGAGAAAAAGAAAAAAAGTGGCTCTAGACTTTGAATCATTTTAGTTTTTCCCTATCTATTTGACAATGTATCTACTTCACATCTTTTGCTTCCTGACCTTGTTTTAATCTCTCCAGTCTTGTTTTACTCATTAGCTATGCATGGCTCTAATGCTGCTATCTCTTCTTCATGAGGGTTCATGAACTCTGGAGCTTTCATTGAGGTATCATTTACATTTATATTTACTCATATTCAAAGGTTCTCAGTCCCGTATAAAGGTGGCAAAGGTTCTCAGCTACTATAATTTTCAGAACAGAAGTATCTGCAGCCAAAGAGCTGGAGCGACAATTGACAGCTAAGTCATCACCAATCTGTTTCTAAAACTTTTACTTCCAGAAGATGGGGAAAGTAGCATCTTAAACCATCGCAGGTGCTTCCACTGGGCTTCAGTAACAGCAAAAACATTCAAAATTGGGGTATCAAAGTCTTAACAGAAGTCAAAAAAGAAAAGGCACAGCACAGGCAGGATTAGTACTTGTTATTTCTTTGCTCTTATCGCAACAGAAGTTATCTAAAGAAACCCTACAACCCCATACGTAGATGACAAAGCTTATAGTTTCTGAATTCAGTGGAAGTTTCATTCCTTAGTACAGTGCAGATTGTTAATACACAAGCTTTTTTCTGCAGAAGCTTCAAAATTAGTACCGCTAACTTCCAGGGACTTTAAGTACTCAAACTATCAAAACTTGCTTTTATGTAAGACAAGACATTGTGTGCTGAAGCAATATTACAGTTCCATGCACTGCCAAAAACTCTTCTTGAGTATGCTCTTTAACCTTTTTGACATTTAGATTGTCTTTGTGATTTTCTATCACAAAAGATTTCAGGAAACAATCTGGGTGATTTAACAGCTCATTTCTATTAGGAAGCTTAAATCATACCCTTGCCACTCGGTTCTACCTTTCTGCACTCTTCTCATACACTGATGATTCAATTCTGTTCCAGCTCCAGTTCAACACAACAAGCAAGCAAGAAAGTACTTACCTTTTCCACTAGGTTATTATTCTGTTATTTTAGTGCATTGATTCAGCTCACCAAGGGTTAGATGAATGCCAAATCCATCACACGGGAGTGACAGATGTGTTTGGCCAGGAAAAGAAACAGACTTTTGGAAGCAGTGTATTGTCCTTGTTGTCTTATGGAGACTTACCCATAAGTTACGAGACTTTAAACATTTATAGCATTTGCATGATCGATTTACCCAAGCATCGGAGATTCACACAACTATCACTTGGTGGCACCTTCTTTTGAAGGAAAGCTGTCAGTATCTTTCAAGTACACGGAAGTATGTTTTATGTCAATGATACATGACTATACTACACACAATGAAGGATACTGAAAACTAAAGAAAAGACTGGAGGTTTCAGAAAGCCATCCTGAAAGTGTTTCTGCTTTCAGATTTTTTTTCCATTCAGCTTAAAGTCCTTCAATAAACTTTGAGTTAAACATAGACCACAGTGGTTAATCACATACACAAATCCCCTGTGGATCGCTCAAAATCATACATGGTGATCTCAGACTCTAAACTCACACAGTTTTCTCTGTTGGCCATAACTGTAAAATCTTCTGTAATCTCCATCTGATTTGTATTATTTTTAACTTCTTTAAGCTTCAAGACCCTACAAAAAAACCCCAGAAATTACAAAATAAGTCATTATTATAATCCACCTATAACACTTCTATAATTTAAAAAAACAGGTATATTAAAACATCAGAAATAACTGAAATGGAAATAAATTATTTTTTAATTTATCAGTAAAATTTTAAGAGTGGTCCTTGATCATTTTTCATAACAAAATCTAGTGTTGCCTGCCATTGACCATATTCATGTGCAGAAATCTGCATGTTTCTACCAGAACTTCTGATTCTGACAGATTAATAAATTCTACAGTTTCTAGGGCTTGATGAGTCTTTTGGCCTGCAAATTTTCAAACTAATGAATTTATGCAGTTACACAATTTCTCCTCTAGTAAAATAAGATCTGAGAAAAAACAGCTCGTACTTTACCAAATTTGGTCCCACGTGGATTATTCTACCTGACATATCTGGATGGAAATATATCCAGTCAGGTTCCAGTGAACAGCATTTCATATCCTGGATGCCATTTTTTGCCTGAAGAAGGAAGGGAAAGCTCGAATATTAGTATTTTGAAAGTCTCAAAGATCTAATTAAAGAGGAAACACTGAGCTCCTATCCACATACTTCTGAAGGTTTTTAAGTAATGCTCCTAATCATGACCAGAAAGGATGCCAGTGGAATAACAGTAATAACAACAACAACAGAGTTGGTTCCAAGTCTCAAGATATTCCATGGAACAGTTTCAACTTTCATTTGCAATAAGCAATAACCTTGTACCACAGCTATACGTGTCCTACCTCTCCTGAAACTAAACAAAATCAAGATTTAGTGTACACTCTGCAAACACTTCAACATGTCCATCAACATGAGTGTCGAAGACATGAGATACGTCAAAACAAGGGAAAGCATTAGCACAAGGTTTGACTTGAGCTTCAAACCTCAGGCTCAGCCTCTTTTGTACAAATTATCTGTGGAGCATATAAGCCTTGAACAGCTTGGGATTTCAGCTGCAAGCTGATCAAAATCTTTGGATTTTGGCAGTGGATTTTTGTTGTTAAATTTAGCTGACCTTGATCATTCAAATTTTCAAATGTATGAACCTGCACAGAAAAATGCTAGGCAAGAAAGGATTGTACAAGCCCCTCTGAATCAAAATTGATCTTCAGCTATTGTTATGAAAGATCTGTTTTGAAAATAAGAGATCATTGATTTGGTCAGGCTAGCAAAAGAGATGAGGACATTTACAGATGAGAATTTTTTTAGTGAAGAACCCTGAACTAACAGGCCTAGAAGCTGCTTGTGTTACAGAAGTATCTTCAGGTCATATCCAGATCCCAAATAAAAACTGTGATGGAGAGCTCACACGAAAGAATATATGAGAATAGTACATAAACACAAATAATAGGAATGCTGGATTAAACTGGGTAATAAAACCTTTCTAGGAAGGGAGAGAAGGTACAAATCAGGGATAAACTACAAATATTACAGAAACTTATTCTGCAATTTCTTAAAATGGTTCTTTAGTCATGCCATTTGTAGGCTGACTAGTCAGAAGTGCGTTAAGAGGTTACCATGCAAGGAATCAGGTACTGAGATTTTGCTTTAGCCTTAACTTCTAAGCAGAGAATAGTGCTAAGATTATACTGGAATGAATGAAATATCAGAGGCACTAATAATGGAGAAGATAACATTTTACACACGACTCCACTGGACAGTAGATGCAACACTGTGGGGTGATCCCTATGAGAGCACCATACTGGAAAACAAGGGCACTGTTGTCTCAAGCACTACTCAGAAGACATGAAGACAAATGTGATACACATACATTTGAGAGAAGGTGCTATCTGAACATATTACCAAAGTATTGTCTTTCAGAGAACAAATATGGAAGACTCCTTTATGCTTTTTCTTGTTAGGTGTGATGATATAATGCCAAGGGTAACCTCCAATTTGAAATGCATTCTCCAGAGAAGATGCTTCAAATAGCAAAGGTGGGATATCTGCAAATATTTGGTAATGTTAACACCATTAGTAGTAGAACAATCATAATTTCATTGATCCTTACAATTCTAAATGCCGATAAAGCAATTAATTCTTCAGAACTTTTGAAGACTCTTGGAAATACATTGGCTGTGGCCTTTTTTCTAGAACCAGCTATGCTACCTCACCTAGCACGCAGGCATACATCTGCAGTTCAGCATGGAGGTCTGAGAAGGCAGTAATCTTCCATAATACAACAAAATAGTGTGGACCACAAAGAGTGCAATCTGTAGCCGAGTTCATAAAAATCAATAAAATCAATATAAATCTAGGAATTTTTGTAATTAATGGCAAAAGGTATCCGGTTTTCCCTTCAGATCAGTTGGGATAAATTATACAGACATAATATGCCACTCTTACAAGTCTTCTGTGTACTAAGTGAGAGAAGCATCTTTGAACGAAGTGGACCACATGGAGCTTTACAACTTCTACCAACTAGCTAAATAACAGCAATTTCTACAGCAGCTACGACTAAATCAATTTTAAACTGAAGATCACCTTGTTCTAACACTACAGAGAAGTGCTAGGGAAAAAAAAATAAATTGGTAAAATGTGAAGAAAACCTGCAGTTACAAAAGGCATTTAAATAGGCAGAATATAAAAACCCAAGCTGAACTGCTATGAAGAAAACAAGGTTCTTATCTGGACTTTTGTGTCCCAAAGGTCTCACCCAAAATTTGACTTGTTCTTGTCCTGCTTAGTCTAGATAATCATCCAGATCCTAGCCACTGGTGCTAGCCAATGACACATGACATCAGAAATTACATTTACAGAGTGCTTCTCTGTTTTTCCTTCATTCATGTTAACAACGACTTAGCCATTTAAATTGAAAGAAATTAGTTCACTGCCTATGGAAATTAAGTCCTTCCTAAGCTGGAAAGTGGCTGTCTTCCAGTCATCTTTGGGACTAACATACAGGAAATGGGAGATTCCGTGCAAGATATACAAAGTACAGGTTATAAAAAACTGAGGAATCTGCTGCAAATGTACAGAATGCTGAAGAAGCAAGCATAAGCAGACCTAATGAAAAATGAAAAATGGGTCAATAAAATTTGTTAACATCTTATCCTATTGACTTTTTAAATAAAGCATATAGAGCAAGGCCCCTCAAAAATTCTGGCAGGTAGACTAAATGATAGATTTAAATGCATTTCAATAATAACTCAGTCCTAAGCAGTGCAGGCTGCTGCTAAATATGATTTTCTTTTTATGTTCATTTGGCAAAGACTTGCAAATTCACAGCCACATAAACCACTGTGATAGCATGACTTCGCCGCTTCAATTCCCTCTTTCCTGCTATGTGTTACTTACTGTTGCTCAACACTCCCTGTTCTAATTGCTTGTAAGTCCTTTCTCTAGCATTGCCTGTTTCCAGTCTCCAGTTGAGCTTCGTTGTCCACTTCCTTAAAAACTCTCCAGCCTCATCTAAACATAAAGCCATAAAGCTGTTCCTGGCAGCATTAACAAGTATTTGTGCTAAGCATAAAAAAAAGAGAAGATCTCAGCAAAGCATCTTACTTTCTGTTTTTATGACATCCTCAAATCAAAGTTCAAACTCTGAAACTGTTAAAATCTCACTCACTGAAACGTTACATTACACTGAACAGTCAGTCAGCCATTGCATTCTTAAAAGAAAACAGCTCAAAAACCACAGGAATGTAACTATCTGCAAGAGCAGCCATGCCAAATGTCTGTCATGAATTCAAAACTTCCTAACTACAAATTCTTGAATATGTTTCAAGATCAGAAATGTTTTTTCCAGTACCTTGGTTTTAGATCTCAAAACTAAAAATACAATGATCTGTAAGACATGAGAGCAAATCTGGTCTAGGTTTCCTATTAAGCTCCCACAGCATGTTTTCCACAGGGCCCCTAACATTAAATTGTGGTTTTGCAGACCGAGACAGAGAGGAAAATGAGGAGAAATTTCCCTTTCCAGAACCTGACACATCAATTATAGCAGCCTATTACTTTGTTTTGATAAAACACTGCATTATAACTGAAAGACCTCTTTATGTATATCTGTATTTTATCTTTGTGTATTTCCTCAGGTTTACGTTAATCTGGTCTGGTTTGACTGTTATTATCTGATGTTGTTTGCAGACAGAATGATCAAAAGAATGTTTTAAGTGGACAGTCCCCCGTAAAAACCATTTACTACAGAAACATTCAAAGTTAAAGAAACAAAAGCACTACTTGCTACTGGTGAAACCTACTTTTTTCTTTTTTTGGAAGTAAGTTGAAAAAAAAAGTTTCAAAGAAAGTCTCAGTCTTTGGTCATTGAGATTCTTAGCACCAAATTTTAATCTCAAATGCACTAACAGAAATGATTGCTTGGTTTCAGAGAAATTAAAGTCATTACATAAATCAGAACATTTGATAGTTACTGATTTGAGGCATAAGAATTGTTTTCAATACTTACTTTGTTCTCTCCTCAGTAATTAATTTTATTGAAAATGGCACATTTCTGACAACTCAGAATTATCAAAATGCAACTAAGACAAATCGTATTCAGGCTCCTTGAATTCCCTCTGCTGGTCGGATTAAATGTTCTTACATACTCTGCTTACATACCATATATTGTTTCTGAGTGCTACTAACACCAGTCCTAGCATTTCCTCTTGTCCTTGGTCCTGAGGCACAACTGTTCTTGATAGAGATTTCCACTTCAAGCATCATTCATGAAGTTTTTCAAATAGCTTAGTTGCTGTGCTAATTTTCTAGTTAAATCCTACGTAATTAAGTCTTGTAATTAGAAGTCAAGCAAAGTACATTTCTAATAACACATAAACCCAGAAATATAGCTACAGATACACTCACAATGAGTAGAGTAATTGTAATGTTTTTTCTAGGTGTGAAATAAGTAATAATTAATCCATAAAAGCCACCAGCCAAGATAATACAAAGATAGTAAATACCTGTTATTTTAACATTACATGGAAGACCAAATGGATACTTTCCTACAACTCCCACTTGACCATTCCAGTTGAATTCATGTCCCAGATCAAACGGCTGTTCCATGAACTAAACAAACAAAAATCAAAACATTTTAGTTTTATTAAGGTTTACTTACTTGCCATTTAGTTTTACTACTCTGTTACTACTGCATTCTTGATCTTGTTAAATACTGCTTTATGTCTTACTTTTGAATTAACATTTGATTTTTGGTTGGAAGAAAATAAACTCAAAAGTCTCACTGCAGTTCTGTTTCAGATCAAACAACCTTCCATGCCCATCATTTTCTAGCCTTAACACTCACCTATAACTACAGACTAGGTGTGTACAGAGCAGCACACCCTGATCTAGCATTTACATAGCTCCTCTCTGTATGTGCTGAAGTGCCTGTATGAACCTGTATCTCTTATGTTTAGCCACTTGTAACTGGTGCGGGTAGAATTTTCTGATGGTGTACCCTTTCAAATCTTCCGACTGTAAATAGACTCAGCCAAGAACTCTATCCTTTTGACACATTCCCACGTGGTGTTACATGAATATTTATTTGTTGACCAAAAATAACATGACTATATGAAAGATTTCATATTTCATTACCTGTTCCAAGATGGCCTGGAAGTTATAGAGCCTGACCAGACCCATGCTATGCATTACAATCAGTATTCCATTAGAAACAGCAACATCCGTCACACTATTACCAAATATCTGGACAAAAAAAAAGGAAGAGAAAAAGATTCTATTAGGGAAAAAATAATTGAGAGACAATGAAAATACTTAATATGAAATTTTGCAATCAATTTCTTTTTTTATTCTGACTAAACCTTATGAGCAGTGTTTTATCTCATGAAGTGTTCTGTAACTCGGGTGCTCTGCTGAGTTCCTGTAATAGTTTGCACTGTAGTAACACCTGGAGTAAGACTAGCCACATTCTGGAAGCAGATTAATTCTCTAATCAATTCTAGTATATCTTCATATCATGTTACCCAGTTATTATCATATATGAATAGACTATATTACGCAGCATCCCACAGGAATGTTAGCAAAGCAAACAACTCAATCTAAAAGTATCGATTTCGGATCTTTCATTCTTTCATCATCACCTGGGTAAGATACTAGTCAATCACGGCTCTATGACTGTGTACAGCTGTACTAAAACCCCAGTATCCAGCTGTCACAGAGCACAGGATCCTCTCTGAATCCAAATTAGACACATACATGAAAAGCTGACATACTCCTTTTAATAATTATGCAGTATTCATTTGTGCCGCTGCTTAACACATCTCCACTGAAATTCAACAAACCAATTCTGAATATTTAATGAATAACAACATGTGAAGTTCAGTTTGGGGTTTTGGGGTTTTTGTTGTTTTTTTTTTAATAGAGATGCTTGGAAATTTAGTTTTCATTTCTTTACTCTGAATCACTATGTCAAAAACTCTAAGAACAGAGTTAAAACAACTAAAAAAACCCGAAACAAACAAAACAAAAAACCAAAACACCAAAAAACCACCACCCTAAAGATGTAATACTTCTAAGTCCTAACACTATCAATGGTCTTGTGATCAGTTTGGTCCCAAAAGACAACCTCACTCCTGAGATCCTGCCTTTCACTTAGTCGTATGGCTCCTCAGTACACTTGTTAGCTTAGGTCCCAGTGTCTTCCAGAAACAAACTCTTGATAATCTTGCAACTCTAAACTTGAGACCTTACCTAGTCTGAACTCAGAATTTATTGTGGTGTACCATCTCAGTAAAGCTGATGCTTTAGGTGCATTCTGCAGTCTCAAACATTAACCCTCAGCCTAACTAACATTCCACTGATCTGTATCAGGCTTGGCATTGTATTCATTGGTTGCTTCCTCTGCAGGGTGTATTCTCAAATCCCAAACTCTATCCTGATATTATTCCTAGCTGTAACAATTACTCTGATAAGTACTCCGTACAGGCCCAACTGAGGAAGTAGATGTGTAGATGCTTCACTTGTTATGCCCATGATGAATGTGGCATGCCATTCCTAACCAGACTGAGAATACCTTTGATACTGGTAACATTTTTTCCACTCCTAAATACTAACTTTGAACAGAACAATAGAGTGTCCCTAAACTTCCATGGGCCCAAATGAAAAATGTTTAACCCACTCCTTCACTTGCCAGCCTAGTCTCAATTACAGCCTCAACCCACCCCAGCACCAGCCAAAACCCAGTAATAGCTCTAGACCCCAAATGAGACTTGGGTCACAGAGCTTTGAAGACAGTTTCCATGTTTGCACTATTCCATTTGTAAGCTGTATCCAGAGCTCTCTTGACAGAACGATAAAACTTGCCATCTGGCTTGAGATTTCCTGATACATCCACCCTTACTTACAGGTCACAAACCAGCCTCAGAAAGGTTGTTCATTCTTGTCTGATAAAGCAAGACACGTATTTACATTTTGCCATTCAGCATCAATGATAATACAAGCCTGAAACATTTATAACTGCACACTGAATTCAGACTATTACTAGTAGTGGGTCAGAGGCCCATCTATCTTCCTTTAAAGAGGTGAGTCTGTAGACTTTAGGATTCCCTGATTCTTATGACTGCTGTAAGTAAAGGGTGAAGTCTTCCTATATATAAAAAGAATAACCCGATAGAATGTGTAAGTATTTTCTCTTCTGGTCACTCAAGTTAAGAATCTTCCCCCCAACGCCCCTATGAGACCTAAACCCAACGTTACTGCTAATTAATGTTTCACGGCACTATGCTTTTATAAGCTGTTAACTATGATTTCTGAAATTTGGTGGCAATTGCCTAAACTATGCCTCTCAAATGACTACAGTACAGGTCACGATTATATCCTATTATATATTATACATTATATCATAATAGAGGAATTAACTTACCTTTTTGTTTATTTCTAGCATTCCAATGAATGACAGAGGCAAAACTTGGAATACAGCAAGATAGAACAATACAGACTGCTGGATACCTGCCTGGGAAAAAACAACAATATAATTATCATACTTCAGGTACTTATTAATGGTAGGACACCTTCATCTTTTACCATAAAACAAAGCATAATGTCTTCATCTTTGTCCTTGCAGATGTTTTTTGATCAATTTTGCAAAAATTTAGGAATGACAGAGTTTTTCAACAAACTTACCTGCCGTGCTGCTGCAGGGAGCTTATTCTGAGCTGACTTTACAACCATCAGCTCTTGAGGAATATCCCAGCTCAGATACCTGCTTGTGACAATAAGAGCCTCTCTTAATAATTTTAAAATCATTTAATAATAAGTACATTATTTCACATAAAATATAAGCTACTGTAACTAGGCAAACCCCTGTGTCCAGGCAAACTGGGAAGGGTGCCTGAGATGTGTGATGTTTGCAACAATGCAAAACGCATGGAACTAGGAATGGCTTATTTCATACAGAATGGTGAGAAAAAATCTGATACTATGAACATTCACTATCTTAATTTTTCTCCTTCCCTTCATCAATCACTGCTTTCTTATCCTTCACTCTAAAGAAAATCATTCCTTCTGAGAACTGAAAAAAAGACGCAGTTTACCATAAGCAGTAACCGCTCAGCTTTTAAAGAAGAAAATGGCTACCCTATGGAGAAAGATGCCCGCAAGTTAAAAATGGCTTAAATTTTAAATGTGTGTTTCTTATATTTTACGAAGTTCTTTCTGCAGCTCTTAAAGATCCTCTCCTGGTATGTTGCTATTCCAATATTAAATACTGTAAAATTGGAAGAGAAAAGCCAAGAGTAGCCTAGATTGTGTGGCTTTTGTGAAACTTGATACTAAATTTGAGAGCAGAATACTTAAGCTGCTGAAACTCCTCTACAGAAAACAGCATGCAGGAACAGTACTCCAGGTAGTGTGCTAGACTAGCAAACCTGAAGTCAGCCATAGGATAGTCCTAAAATAAATATGATTCTCTTTCTTCAGTACAGTACTAATGATTGTCAATTATATAAAGCCTAGTCAATGTTTAATACCTGAACTTGCAACAGGAACCCGTTAGGTATATTTTTTCCAGTACTTCTCCACTATCAGCAGAGAGACGTAGAAGCCAATTCTGTACTGTCAAGACTATCAGGGAAGATTTATAGTCCGACAGACTTGGTAGCATTTCCCCCTACATAAGAAAAGGTTACCAGAAAAAAGTTTGTACCAGGAAGATACATAACATTTTGACATAGTATGAAGAAAACAAAAATTAATACACATTCCTCAAAAACTAAAGGCAGAAAGCTGCCTGTTAAATCACATCAGGATCTCTAAGCTCATGTCTGTGCCAAATAGTTATCTGGCTATCACTTAATCTGTTGTCATACTTTTTGCAAGGCAGTTACCTTTTCTGGAAAAGACACCCTTTAAAATGTCCTTGCCTTGCAAGAATGACATGTAAATGCTTATTGATCTAACTGCTACCAGTCTTCAAGAGACAACTGTTCAAGTATTAAAGCATAAGACATTCAGTGGTAACTCAACTGTAACTGCTAAGTGTGGTATTCTTCATAGTGCTTTTTTTCTCAGGCAACTCCAGGATGTGAATAATATTCATAAGCTCTGTGAACACTGGATAAGAGAAAACTTCCTCAAGGAGGAGGGAAATTATATAACCTATTAGCTAGAAACAGCAGAACAGCTTTTGGGCAGAGTTGCTTCAATGGGTCTCCAGTATATCTGCTGGGCTTTCTGTGTCAACAGAGCTGGTAAAAACTAGAACTACCTTTAGCTTGGAATACAAACTGCCCTTGGTAATTAAAAAATAAAGAAAAGTTTAAACAGCAATTATGTTCTAAAGGAGTTAGTTGCATAAGCATAAAGGCACTCTTCAAAATCTTCCATGAAAGCTCTCAAAAAAGCATTTGAATGCACTATTGAGAAATTCAGAAAATTACACCTCTAAACATTCAGACAAAATAAATAAGCGCACGTTGCAAACCTTAAATGACCTAGCTCCATAAAAGCAATGAGAGAGTATTCTGCAGGGAAAGAACACTTTATTCTAAGTAGGTTTCGCTGAAAGATATTAACTTGGGGTTTTTGCACAACCATGCTCTAGTAAAAAGTATTCTTACCAGTGGGCATTCCAATAATAAAGCATCTTCTATTTTTTCTGACTTAGAACACTTTGGCTTTTGATAAAGTATTCTTGGCTCTTGTGCAATGCTGGAGGAAAATGATTGCTAATCATTAGTCTACTTTATAAACGACTTTCTATAAACAAGTCATTTTGCATTTTGCAGTTTCATAAATCCTGTCTTCTCTTTAGGGAGGTCAGAAGTCTAAACATCTTACTTTTACTTTGCAAATATAACCTGAAATTGCTCTCAAAATAAGGCCTGATAAACAATAATTAGTATAACATAATATTTAAAAGCTAACCTTCACTATATTTTGTGGTTTGTAGGTTGTCTTATTTGTTTGTTTGCTTGCTTTTAAATAACAAACAGTAACATTCTTACTTTAGTGATACACATTAAAAAGAAAGCATATTCTAGAAACTAACAGTCAGCCTGGAACCTTCCCCTCCAGCACTTCCAGTGTTGCCTTTCATAACACAAAGGCGTCATGCACAGATACTGTTTTAAGAAGCCCTACTACTAGAATAAAAGCTTCATACTGTGCACAGTTTTTCCCCTCAGGGAGAGGATGAGACAAAGATAAACCTGAAAGATGTTAGACAGGGTAAGTCAGTACTGGAAAGCATTCCAATAATGTAGGAACAAAACATGGCTAAGTAAATTTGGATCTCTGCTGTAAGTGATAGATCAATTAACTTTCAGTGGTTTACAGCGACAGTGATTTGTCTTTTATGTACCATATGACACTGTCTCAAAACTGTTCTGTTCACAACTTACTCAACACTGCAGTTCTCCAATTCCCTGCTACTTCCCTCGCAGGAGGGATGGGCAAGGACAATGATGGTGTATGCAGGACTCCCTCCTCCACCCTGCCCTGCGCTGTGCTGCCTCCTAAGCTGTGTCTCTGCAGCTGATCATGGAACTGGAGAGTACATCAGATCAGAGAACTGATCTGCAAAAACAAAAACCAGCAACTACTGCACACACCATACTTCTACATGAACAACAATTTACTTCTTCAATGCAGAATTTGTAGACATAATACCAAGCTTATTACATAGGCTGATTTTGTGATACATTCTTAGCATGCTTCTAGTTAGCAGATCACAAAGAACTATTGTTCATTTGGCTTTTTAGTGCAAAGTTACAAAATGGTGATAAACTTCCACCCTTATTAAAGTGCTCTGAAAGCTGAAGTTATACAGCATCAGGAAGGTCAGACTTTCTTTCACAGAAGGTGTCACATTAAGTCACAGTGGCACCCAAGTATAATTTAAAAAAGATTTATTCTCCTGGTTAGGCTTTTTTTTTTTTTTTTTTTTTTTTCACAAATTCCACTCAATTCACAGGCGCTATTTGGATGAGTAAAGCTGCCAAAATGTCCAAAACAGAACCACATGTTAAAACTGTAACCTGGGGTAACTTCTAATTGTAAATTTATTACCTGCTAATACAGCACTGGTAATTGTCTAAGTAAATTCTTCCTCTTTCATATGCAATAGGAGATGCAGAATGAGTTGTCCAAACATTCTTGAATTTAGTACTTTCCTGAAACAGACAGTGGTTAGAACAGTGACGAATTTTGTAGCAAACCTTGCTTTCAGAAAATATTTAGCTTCTGCAGCTTAATAACTTACTTTAATTGAACCTTTACTGTTAAATGCATAAAGGAAAATCTGATTTGTATTTTCAAAACAAATTAGAAGACCTTTATAGGGAAATTTTGTCTTTTTAAAGAAACAAAGTCTTCTTTTATTAGCTATTATGGACAGCATGGGTAATGGATATTTTCTCATTATTTTGCCTGCACTGAAATTAAAACTAGCAACTAAACTTTAATGGCAACTTTTAAAATCAAGGACAAAACTCAGAATGTAAATAAGTACATGACTCTTTCATATGTAATTAATTGAATTTATTTAACCTTTGACTCTATTCTGCTTTTGGTGTTTTGTGTGAAAGACAGAAAAATGTGCTTACTTGCAAAAAGTGCCTGAAACTGCTCACATAAAGTTTCTTGCATTCATTAAAGACATTAGAAGCTCTATACTATTAACAACAGTCCCAGTCTTACAAACCCAAAAAGAATTAAACCAAAAGTATTTGTGTAAGTCAGGCATACTGATTTTTATTCCAATAACCTTTGCATGCCCATTGATCTATTTGTATAAGTGGACACTTCAGCTGACTTCCAATACATCTATTTTCAACACAACACAATTGCCAACTCACTTCCTCATATTAACTTTCAATGCATTTCTATCAGCTACTGCATGGCAGTGATTGTAATCGTTTTGATTAAAAAGTCGAGTTCACTTTACTCTGTAACTGCTTTAATTTTTATCCTGTAACAGAGATTTCACTGACACGTTAGGGGAGTGTTTACCTGAAGACCTCTACTGATTATCTTATTTTGTCACGAGAACTCCATTCAGAGTTAACACTGATGCTCCCCCAAACACTGTGAATTTAATATGGGTATTAAATAATAAGCCATTTTCGTGGATGAAATAAGTGATGGAAAACGCTACTTCTAATGCGATTATCAGATTTACAGGTGCTTCTTTAGTTTTTCCACAGCATAGTCCTATCTACAGTTCTAAGTCTGAGCGTCATAAAATAAGTTTAAGTATTTATAACACCCTTCAGCAAAACCGCACCGTTTTTCTTCCCAAACGCGTCAGTCAGTGGACCAGGGACTGCTCAAACACCTGACCGACGCTCAGCCCAACCCGGCTGGCAGCCGGCACACGCAGGGGTGCGGCCAGCATCGGAAAGCATTGTCATTACCTGACATATTATCTGCCTGAGAAGGCCCAGGTTTGTTCTGTGAGCGACGCCAGCATCTCTAGCGTAAAAGCCAAGGGTCCTGCGGGTAAGGAGGCGGCAGATGTTGTGAGCCCCAGGAGCGGCCCTGCTCCTCCTCCCGGCGGCGGCGGCGGCGGTTGCCTGCGGGCACATTCCCAGGCCTCGGAGCAGGCGCGCCGTAAGCCCCTACTTGTAGCTCGCTCTTGGCGAGGCGAGCAGCCGTGCAGGGCCCAAGCCCAGCCGCCGAGAGGTGAAGCGAAGCGGGAAAAGGCCCCTCACTCTCCGACTCCCCAGAGACGCAAACCGAGGCCTTCCGACAGGTTCCCGCTGCCGCCGCGCCGTCCCGTCCCGGGGCGGGGTCAGGTACGCACGGTGCCTCCCACCACCACCACCACCACAGGGCCGAGTCATGGCGAACGCCCGGCGGCAGCCCTACACAGTTACCTTCTCCCCGCGGCCCGCCGGGGATTGTAGTTTCCGTGGGCGCACAGCCTGCATCTCCCGCCATGCCCCGCAGCAGCCAGCCGGCTGGCTCCCTCAGGGGCTGCGGCTGTCAGTAGGAGCGGGCCCGGTCGGTGTTGCGGGGTGGTGCGTGGCTGCCCGCAATTAGCGGGCGGGAGCAGCGTAATCCCCGCGGTATAGGGGTGTTGCGGGGGGCCGCGGCGCAGGAGGGGAAGTTACGCAGAGGTCGGTGGGAGACGCCGGCAGTGGTCGCCCACCGGTACCCGCGGAGCCGCCCGCTCACCGGGAGCTGTGTCCCGGGCCGAGCTGCGCTTTGAGGGGCTGAACTAAAGGCAGTGCGCGTCGGCGTGTGTGAATGGAAGCTTTTTACGGGTCATTTGTTTTAAATAAAGGCAGGAAGTTTTGTTAGTGATAGTTCAGTTAAAGTGGGAACTTGTATCTCCTTCCTTCTAATGTCTTCCTGCTGCAGACTAACCATTTCTCGCGCCTCGGAGCTGAGTGGTGGGACCGGGCGCTGCAGGCCGAGGGGCTGCCGGGAGGCGGGGGGTCCTACGGCGCTCTCCGTCAAGCAGCAGCCGCGGCAGTGCGCATGTGGTATCGACAGCGAGTGGCTTTGGCCGCCGCCGTGTTGGATGGGTGTATCCGGGCTTGGGGGGCTTGTGCATGTCTGTTTGTGTGTGTGTGTATGAAGGGATTTGTTTAAAACTCCAGACATCAGCAACTTCTTGAAATACATGACACTTCATTTTTATATTTTTAGAACGATGTCCCAAAAGTTGTCACAATCATCAACAGCTGCTGGCCAGTGGAGCAACTGAAAGTCTGTGGAAAAACTAGTTTCTCTTGCTTCCCAGAGGCCAGGCACCCAAATGGGGTAATGTGAAAGTTGCTGATCTTTTATATTTCCATGTCTGTCCTTCAGGATTTCTGAGCGAAACTTTTAATCTTTGCTGATACTGTGACAAAAGACATATTCCTGTCATTTCCTGGTGCTTTGCAGATAATTGGATGAAACGAACTAAACATATAAAACAGTGACTGCAGTCACACCTCCACAGAGGAGGATCAACAACATTGCCAGTGACATCAGAGCTGACAGGGCAAGTTGCCTCTAAGCAAAGCCCATGTGGACATCTAGAGCCCGGCAGGGGTGTAAATGAAGCAGGTTCTTCTATGCAAATCATAGATAGCAGTAAAAATCATGTTGCTCTGTCTCTGTACTCAGCATCTTTAATAACAGAAAAACATGTTTTGTGTTGAGACAAATCATCTTTTGTTAGGCGATACAGTTACATATTCAGTGTTTTGTAGAAATTAAGGTTGAAAAACAGTTTAAGTAATTGAAAGATCTAATTGGAGACCTAGATGTATGTTCACTGTGCATATGTATGTACGTGTATACATAAAGTCACCACAGCTTTTTTTCATGTGCTTTTTTTTTTTGTTCTTCCATGTAAGCACGCGCCAGCAGAGGGTGCACAGGTTAACTGGGAAGCCTTATTTCTGAGCTGTGGTTGTCACTGAATGGCTTCCTCCTGGTGTTAAACTTGAGTAGATTGATTTAATAAATCAGTTTCTTGTTGTATCGTGCTGTATACAACACCATGGGAAATATGGGTATTACCTCATGGAAAAGGGGGAAAATGAAGGGAAAAGGTAAAGGATTGCACAGAGTACTTACGTATTTAAATTCCGTTACATACAAACATTCATTGATATGTGGGAATACAACTTGTCTGTAAAATTAAACAAGTGTACAGGTATTTACAGGATTGTAGCCTGAAGAATTATTAGTGAATTTGTCTCTTTATGTTGTGCAGTATTTAAGAAAGTTCACAGAGTGACTGGTATGTTCTTAATTTCTATTATTCCAATTATTTTAGTCAATAATATTTATAATTACACTGTTTCAGAGTGTGCCTTTAATAGGTGTTAGGAAATAGGGAGCAGTAGAACAATTAACACTGAAACTATTATTATAAGTAGATTAATTAGAAAAGTAGAAGTTCCATTCCAAGAATGATTCTGGGATATAAAAATATAGTTTTACCTTCAGTTGGAATAAAAGTGTTCTTCACAAATTGAAGTGGTTTTAATTATGTTAAAACACTTCCTTGAAAAGGCAAAAATAGTCTTTGATAGCAGTCAGAACATTTCTTATAAATTGGAATGATGCAGTTTCAACAAAACACCTGTCCAACAGGAGTATCACGATGGAGAGTAGTGGCCAAGAAGCAATTCTCAATGAATGCAAAATTAGGAAATTACATAATATTTTTTTTAAGCTCTCAAGGACTTTTAAGTCTCTGCTTGTCCCTGATAGCTCTTTGTCTGCTTTCTTACCTTCAGAATGATTATGTAGTACCTGCATACATTATTTTTGCCCAAATAATGTACCTTCAAGTTCTGTTGTTGATCTTCTGCATATATGGTGATTCAAGTAAATGTTTTCAATATATGAGCAGTTCTATGTCTTTCTCTCCCTCCCTCTAATATTGTATGAACTATTTTCTCTTTGTTGTGCCCTTTTTTAACAGGCTGCCTGGCAGGTAGTGTAAGAACAGGCGCCTCTTGCTCAACGTTTGTGTAGGTGTGGTTAAAATCATATCTGGTGGGGTTGGTTGGTTTTTATCTGCTGTTGCCTTTTAACCAGTGTTACCTGTGTTGTGTCTACAGGAGTCAGAATAAATCAAAATAATTTTGTTTTGTTTTTCTTTTCCTCTCATAGTCAGTGCTCTTGAGTAGCTTTACTGAAGTTGCTGTGTGCCCACAGGGAGGTCTGCATCATTCCTGGTAATGAGGAAGGAAAAACAATTGAGAGTTTAGATCTGCTGAGTTTGGAAAGTTGTGAAATATACTTAAAAATACATTTGAAACAACATGATACCTTTGAAAGAGGAGTCATGAAGCCCCAAGAGGGCATGTTTAGTCATTTGGCAGAACAGAATAGCATTAAGCATTCACTTAATGAATGAGTCTCCTTGACAGTAAAGTGTGTTTCCTTCCCCCCCTCAATTTGAACTATTACGAAATATTAATATGTATGTATTTCAAAAACAATCACTGGCAATTCATAATTACACCTTCTGTGTTACCATTATCTTCGAAGAATTTTTTACTTCATGAAATCATTTGCCTATGATTGCCTCTTGCATCTGTTTACTGTAAGGTGTTTTGAGGTTTTGTAGTGTTTGGTGATAAAACAGATGAGCTGTGCTTTACAGGAGAGTGTTGGGGATTAATTGTCAAATGCTGTGTAGATAAGCTTCCAAGTGCTAAGCAGAAGTAATTGTATTGAAGTTCATTGTTTCCAGAATACTTTTCTGACTAGAAATGTAACATAAGCTGTCCATACTCTTTCTAATATAGGCTTTTTTTTTTTTTCTTTTTTTTTCCTTTTTAACAGAAACCCTACAAGTAGGCTTAGTGACTGGGGTGGAAGAAGTTGTTAGCTTTGTAGTTGGGTGTCAGTCAAATGTCAGACTGTTTTTGTCCAGTAAGTTCATTCAGTTGGGTTCTTGGTAAAAAATGTATATACCTCCTTCTGCAGGTCCACCTTTAAAAAGCTGTGCTAAGGGTGGGTGTTGTATTAGATTATTTGGGGATAGGAGGAGTTTTAAGGCTCTTCTCTTAAAGCTGCTCGACTCAGCCAAGGCCCTTATCAATGTTTGTAACCATGACAAAACTTGAATGACTGAAAGGTAGTACTCCATGGGGAAAAAAAGTTTACTATATTGCTTCCATGTTACCAAGTGAGTTGTTTCTTTAAAGGTTTGTTGTTTTTTTTTTTCTGAAGATAGTTATGCTGCCACAAAATACAAGCATTTTTAATATAATGTAGTTTCATTATCTGTAAAGACTAAGGCTGAATTGCTTTGATTAACAAACTTAGAGCCTTTCTGACTTGTGGCTCTGAACAAAGAGATAACCCCTAATTCTTTCAGATAACACTTCTTGCTGTCATGGCTCCAGGGTGTGATCATCATATGTGACAAAGAGTGTTTGGCGTTTCATTAACCAAGTAATTTAGAGAAACAATCAAACACAGACTGGCTTCTGAAAGTTTGGTTTCTGAGATTTAGGTATCCAAGTCATTTAGATATTTTTTGAACTTTTAGTAGCTAGATTAGGCTGATGATCTGTGTGTCACACTTTCAGGGATATACAGCATGTCTCCAAAGGGTTCCTTCACATTTAACACTGGAAGCAACAGTAAACTTAACTCCCCCACCTACCCTTTGCATTTTCTTGATGTTTCAGAATTTATCAGCTAAAATTGTGCAATTATCACTCAAAGGATCACATTCTCATAAAAAGAGTTGCATCTCTGGATTTTACTGATGCAAGATCATCTTAGTCATCTGACTATAGTTCCCATCTGTGCATCTTTTCATGTTCTTACTGAGATATTTAGAAAGCCAAGAAAAATTATGTGACTAGCCTAGCAGCTGAATCATTGTGTTTAATGTTGAATATCAATGCTGGCACAGGAAATGCAAGATACTAACTCAGATCTTTTTGAATGATTGAAGGAGGAAGAGGATTTGTAAACAGTTTGCAATGCAATCATGGAATCTTTATCCAGACGCTTCTATAATTTAATAATAATAATTTTAGATCAGATTGTGGCTTGGGGTTTGGGGGGATTTTCTATTTGTTTTTGTTTTCAAGAACATTGCCTTTATGTAAATAACACATTTTGCAGAAATTGTCATGATGTCTTAATTTTCGTGTCTTATTATTTCATAATACCCCATGTATGTTAATAATTATGCATTATGTTATGAAAAATGCATACATATTTTCAAAGACAAAGCACAAACAGTTTGTAGTAATTAAACTGTTGCTGAGCCACATTTAAAAAAAAAAGCCATAATGAACTCGTTAACATTAGAAGAGGTTTTAATGTTTTAATAGGACTGAATGTTACATTTTCACTGTATGCTGATGCTCCATATCCGGTTAATATTACAGCCGCAGCAGCCCAAATTTATCAGTGTTTTTATTTGGCTGTGACAGCCAAAAGCAAACCCCACTTTGTTTAAACTTTGACAAATAAAAATAAATTTTAATCTTTTTCCTGCCCCCCCTTTTTTTTTTCTGTAGGCTTAAACTGAACAAACAATGCCATTTTTAAAGCATGACTCATTCAAAACTACACCTTAAATGAGCAATTGTTCATTTCATCGAAGTGGTTCCTTTGCCAGGCTTTGTATTGATGTGTACAAATTAATCTTTTTTTATTCACAGTACAAGACTTGTGATCAAGTAGTACTGTTTTCCTCAAGATAAAAATCTTCATTTTGTATCCAGTTTGCACAGAATGTTTTCTAATAATGTCTTGTGCCTGTTCTTTTGTAACAACATTTTGTATTTCCAATTTGTATGTGTGGTTTATATAGAAGTGGCACTCGAAAAAAATGGAATGGAAAAAAGAACAAAGGAACATCAGGGTAAAAGTCATAGGAGGGGTATTTCATTTTACCCATCTCCTAGAAAGCCAACATTAATGAGAATATGCAAAAACTACCTCCAAAAAAGCCTAACAAGACAAAATGCTAGTAGTAGCTACACACACATTTTATCTTTCATTCTTAATACTGTATGAAAAGATTCCCAGTAAAATAAAGTAATATAGGACAGAATTATACATGTAGTAGAAAAATCTCAAGCACGTTATAATTTGCATGAATAGAAGCTTAACATTTAAAGCCATTCATTTCAAAGGGCACTTTAAGCAGGGATCAGGAGAACTCATCACAGAAATTTTGGAAGCCTTCCTGGGGCATAATGTTTACACTTAAAAAACATAATCCTTTTTTACCTATAAGTGTAAAGCCACAGTCACAATTCTGGAATGAAATCTTCTGAAGACTGTTATCTGGTGAGTGGGATGAAAAATGTTAATTTGAATAACAGTATGTACCCACTAGAACTTTACTGATCTCTTCCTCCTTGTTGTAAATGTACAGTGTCAGACTTGGTTTGTTGCTTTACTGTGTATTTCTTGGTTTTTCTCCTTGCCCTGCCTGACAGGTCTTTGAAATGATACCAAGTCAGTTATACTTCAACTGGTTTCATTCCAGTAGCCTGTTTTGGGATTATTTGGGCTTTCAGCACGCTGAAGGGATATTGCTATTTTCTAAAAAGCTTTTAAATTGATATTATAGTAAAAGATTATTGCTAAAGCTGATATTGGTGCTTGATTATTTGACCAGTTTCTCATGTAAGTGACATAAACAATTAAGTTACAGCAAAACTGTAATTTGAGTTAATTGTATTTTCAGGTCTCTGAACAAAATGGATTTCATTACAAGGCTTTCTGCTTTTTGTCTGAAGAAAAGCAAGATGCAACAGAGGCACCAAAGTAGTAGACGACCAACTGCTCCACTTGGATCACGGATTTTAACTGATCCTTCTAAGGTTTTTGAGCATAACATGTGGTGAGATGTTTTTCCAATGCTGATTTTCATATATTTTTTTGTATATTATTTACCATGATGAATAATGGTGTGTGGGTGTGCGTATTACAATGGATGGCCAGAATACATGTGTAAATGAGAGAATTTGAGATTGTCACAAGTAACCTCACAGTTACAAGTGCTTGGTGACTTGTCTAAAAAGCTGCTGAACAAAATACTGTTACAGATCAGTAATGTATTAGAAGACAGATAGCGTAGAGGTAAGATAGTCCATGTTATTTATAATGGCAGAAATTTACTAGTTAGACACACGTTAGATAACGTTGCATACTGGGTTAGTCCTGTATTCTAAAATGGACACATTTTGAAAGGAACGCGTAAATTACTTGTGTCCTTCTGAAGGTGTACTGAAGGTGTTACAGAAAGTTCAGCAGAGATTTCCATACAGTGCACAAGTGTCAAAAGAAGTTGTGTCTTAACATAAATAAGGGATGTAATTGCAGAGAAAACATTAACATGTAAATGTTAACAAGAATAAGAATTGCCCTGATTCACAACAGTACAGCTCCCTCACTAAAAGGTATTCTTGTGATTAACATGGGCTCAGAAAAGAGCGGGAATGCTAGTCAACACAGCAGGAAAACGGACACTGAAAAGGCTAGGATTTTTGACTGTGGAATGGAGATGAATACCAAACAGTAAGTCATACAGGAAGTGTTAGAAGGATGGAAGAATATCTAAATCTATGTAGAAAGTGGAAGAATATCTACCAAAGATATTTGGAAGACCAGGATTTTTTATTCCTATAGTTCATAACTTAAGAACAAGGAATATTTGATGAAAAGAGAAGTGGAGATTTTAGAAGCTATACAAGAAATTATTTTCTACAGAATTTTAAAATGTTTTTGAATTATGCCACACACCATTTTGAGAACAAGGATTTAATTTAGCAAAATTTAGAAAAGACACTGGATATGGCTAATGATAACCAGTCATGGTCTAGTGGAAGGTGTTCCTGCTTGTGGCGGGGGGGTTTGGAAGTAGATGATCTTTAAGGTCCCTTGCAACCCAAACCATGCCATGATTCTGTAGGTTCCTTGGGCAAGGAAGCTGACTGGTTATTGCGTTAAAAGAGAGTATCTTGGTGTCATAAATCTATATGCAGTGTAGTTCTTGAGCATCTTTTGGACTTGGTACCTCCTGCTAGGTGGAAAAATCCCTTACTTGTCTGAATGCTGATTCGAATGTGGGCTATACAGGTAGAAAAAGATTTTAAGAATAAGGCCACCCTTTTCCTGTAACATTGTACCTCGATGAAACTCAGTTTTAATTTTTTAATTTCCTTCCAAATAACTGATCATTGTAGCTTCAGTTTTTATTTCTAGCATTTAGTAACAATCTAACACAAAGTTGTCAGGCTCTGATGCAGGTGGTTGGGATGAAATGTGAAGGTGGGATTTAAAGGAACAGTGTTGCTCAGAAAGTGGATCTGCAGATGAATCCATGCAGCTCAGAAGGGAAAATGAGTAAAACCGAGTTGGAGTGGAGGTTGCATGGAAGTTGTGAAGGTCTTGATAAATCAAGAACCTAGTTGTGAAGTGGGAGGAGGTCCTTGGATCTGAAACTTGCAGAATTGGCATGGTTCTCACTAGGGAGATAAGGGGGATCAGGATGCATGATGGTTGAGCTAAGTAGATTGTGCAGGGTGAGCATAACATATTCATCTTCCCTAGTATTGATGTATAAGGATTTATTTCTTTTTGTTTTCCACTCTTTCGTACTTCATAAAGTGGCATCCTTCTTTTTGCCTGTGGTGGATTGGAAGGGAGCCAAGAGCTGCTACCATTGCTGCTAGGAATACTAAGCAAATTAAATTTGGGAACTAATGCTTTAGATACTTGCTGTGGTGCTTTTCTGTCATTTTGAGAGAGAAATAATGAATGATGATAAACACTGGAGCAAGAAATGTCTGCTTCTATTCAGGTTAGTAATTGACATAGTTTTCATGTATTAGTTTTCAGAGATAATTAAACCCTATGTTAGCAAACAAGTTAATGGAAAAGGGCTAAGTTGAATAAGCTGAACTGAAAGTAGCATTGCTTGATCTCATGTCAGGCCTACTCATGTTAACAGTTTCTGGTGTGGTTAAAATGGATAGCTTGCTTTACTGCTAGCAGTGTTCATCTTAAAAAACACTTCCATATTTAAACACTTATGTAGTTAGAATTCTTCTGCGTTCCTGCCAACTTGTGTTGCTGAAGGAGCTGCCTCATTAGAAGCATCCAAACTATGTAAATAGTTTGCATAAGAACTATGCTATGTCCACTCTTTTGCAGATTTTGATCAAGAAGTGTTGCTGCAGTCCTGTTGTTTGGGGTCTTCTATACAGCAATTTCTAGGAAAGAGCCAAAGGTCTTTTTTCAGCATTATGAATTTCCAAGGGGGACAAAAAGGAAAAAAACGTTATTGATGAAGATGGAGGACTTCAGGCACCTACAGAGACAAACACACAGTAATGGATTAAAACTTATCAGCTAAAGTTTATACCACAGCAAGTCATCTGTCAGAAGGGCTGACTTTATATTATTGTAATCCAAATAGTGCTTGGTTTTAGCTTGCTGGAATAGGCAAGGTCAAAAACAGTGATAGCACTGAGAGTAGCAAGTCTTTCCAAGGGAATAGCTGCCTGGTAATGCTTGGGTCATTCAGTTTTATTCTACTACAGCACGTCTGTCAGAGCCTTGACACTGCACAGGAACATTTGCTATACGAACAAATACAGGAAGGGGAGAGGCAACCTGCTGGAGACAATAATGAGAAATATTTCAGTAGAAATGCGGAAATCAAGTCTGAGGCAAGCAGACAAATACATACCAATTAGTCTCCCACAATTAACAAAAGAGGAACAGTGAGGGTCTAAGAATTAAATTATCTGCATGTCACCAAGCATGGAACAGGAAGATGCTTGTTAACTTTTAGAGACAATCGACTCTTTTCAAGTTGGCACCTTGTTCCTTTTCCCATAGTAACCAAAGGAATTTTAGTCATAAGCTTTCAGTTAATTGATTTCAGTAGGATTAGGATCTAATAGATTACTTGAATTATATTATCTAATTTTATCTGATTTCTGAAGCTGTTCAAATTGGACAATTTATAGGGACAGCTAATTTGCTTTTAAAAGCTGCCAGCAGCACATTTTTGGGCATTGCCTTTGTGGCCTGATCCAAACACAGAATCTGCAGGAAAGGCTGTTTAGTCATCAGTGTCAGATCTTGGCTTGGTTCCTCAACCCTTTAATAGATTAATATAACATTTATTTAACCACTTTACACAAATATAGATAGCAAAGACTCTGGAACCATTGAAGTGCTGCTTGTCTTTTCTTATGAATATCTCATTCTTCATTTTCTAAATGTTTCCTATCTCTATTCCCCAAATAAGTAAAATCCTGTTCATCAATTCCACCTGTTCCACTTGAATAAGTGGATTATCCTCTCTGTTTTCAGGAGCAGCTGATTGCTTTGCTAAATGACCTTTGTTCCTCATCAGAAACATTAGCTATGTGAAAAATTTCTTCGATCAGGGTGTTTGTTGATAGGTCTATTATAATATCCAGCTAAACACAATTCTAATGGGACACTCAAAATACATTCCTATAAGTGTACTAAATTGGCAAGATATATGTTAAATCTTCTTAATGGCTTTAAAATGAAAGAGGGTAGATTTAGATTAGATATTAGGGAAAAGTTCTTCACTGTGATGGAGGCGAGGCACTGGCACAGAGTGCCCAGAGAAGCTGTGGCTGCCCCATCCCTGGCAGTGTTCAAGGCCAGGTTGAATGGAGCTTTGAGCAACCTGGTCTGGTGGAAGGTGTCCCTGCCCATGGTGGGCAGGTTGGAACTGGGTGATCAGATGATCTTTAAGGTCTCTTCCAACCCAGACCATTATAAGATTATGAAGGAAAAAAAAAAGCATACTACTTCAGGTTCTTTGCAGTTAGCAGATTTTTCTTTATCCCTTCAGTTTTACCTAACTGATAATTCATTTTTATCTATCATACACTGAAACTTAGGGTGTGTGTGTGTGTGTGCGTTCTGTCAGTCTCCTTGTGGGCATTTGCTTGCATTAAAAAAAAAAAAAAAGGTGTATTTAAGACAGTATAGTTCATTTGTCACTGTTTTACCTGGGAAAAAAATGTTATGGGAAATCCTATTTAAAGGCTGGTTCTTCAACTGACTTTTGCAGGGATCACATGCAGTGGTCACGAGAAGAAGAGGAGAATGCCAAGGAAAAAGCGACAGAGAACTCACTTGTGAAAGTCCAGTGGGAAGAGCAAGGTAACAAATTTCTAATAGCTTAAAAATTCCTTTTAAAATACTATTTATTCAAGCAAGGAAAGATCCTTTCAAATCCAGGAACTCTTTTTATTTGTACATTTTCATATCAAAATTTGTTCATTGTGGGCTTTTTTCTTCCCTGCCCTTTTTTTGTTTGTTTGTTTTTGGTTTTTTTTTTTGGTGGCCTCAAAAGATTGTCTCAAAGTGTATTTTTCTAGCATTTTAGTTACTTACTTGAGCAATTTTGTATTTTGGGGGGCAATAGGCTTTATGTAAAACAAATACATCAGTATGATGCAGTTACAAGTCCTGAGTTCTGCAGTTCTTCTGAATGTTACACAGGACTGTTATTTCTTGTTACATAGGACTGTTACTTCATCAAAGGGAAAGAATTTGCAGCCAGCTGGGATACTGGGGATGAAAGTTCCCAAGTTCAAATGCTTTTTAGTGATCTGTGGACTGTTTAGAGAGCTAGTGTTTGTATATTGCGCCATGTTTCAGTTAAGTGCTATGAAAGCTGCACTGGTCCCAGCTGGTCCTGGCTTGCTGCCTTGGCCAGGCTGAGCTGGGAGTGCTGAATTCGGGAAGCAGTGTGTTCACTTTGTATGGAAGGTGTTCCAATACACCATGAAGAGTCTGCTCTATAAGTTATTAAGGAATTTTGTGCCTGTCTTCAGTAAGGAAACAATGTTCTGCGTTTCTGAAGAATGGTAGCTCTAGGTTCAAGCTGGCAAACTAAGACTAAACTGTAGGATAGTTATGTATGCTAAAGATGGAGTATCAACTTGATAGTAACATAGAAGACTGGATTCTCAATTTGTTCCTTTATTAGAAAAATATTCTGAGAACAATTACTTGGATGTCCTTGGCCTCAGTTTACTTAGTGTGTCTTGAACCTATCAAATTAGCTGGTATCATTATGATCCTGTGCTCAGTTTCATTGGTGTAACTAGGGCACATGTTGAAGTTCATTTGAATTACCTGTGAATGTGTCTTGGATTGTGTGCCCTTTATCACGTTAAATACCTTGGGATAGTCATCCTGTCCTTTTCTGTTGCTTCTCACATTCTGTACCTAAACACAGGAGTACAGTATTTGTTTTTTAAAAATTACATCCAATATTTTCATTTGGTTTGTATAAAAAGTTGAGAAAGGGCTCATAATTGAAAAGTAAGCTGTGTAACCATGTGGCTCATGGAATATTTCTTCATCTAGAATCAGTTAGAACTTAGTTTGTACTGGCAAGAAACTGAATAATCAGGCATTTGTCTATTGCCAAGAAATACAAGAATCCACAGACATTTCTCATGAATGCCCCTCTGTTTAGAACTTGAATAGGTGAGCATTGCTGATAGTGTCCCTTCAGAAAGCATCAGCTTCATTCTGCAAGTGGAAGTACATTTTGGCCTATTTGGGTAAACAATGAGCTAGACTGAAGGTAATGAGCAGGTTATTTTGGGGCTTTGGGAACTGCAGCAAGGGGAAAAAGACAAGACAGATTTCAACAGTTTTATTATATCACTAAAATAGTGATCGATTATTCTGATGAGCCCTGTTAAAACAAGAAAAGTTAAACTGAATGAACTCATGGTACTACCTTTAGGGATTTGATTCACTTATTAACATGCCTGCTAGTGTCAAAAGATTCTGTTAGAGAAAAATCTATTGACTAAGTAAGGATTTTTTTTTTCGTCTGAAGGCCTTAAGTTTTAGATTTGTCATTTTTACATGTTTTGGAAAATTTAGTAGTCGGGCTACTTAAATATGCAGAATGAAGCAAAAAAAGGATAATACAACTGCATGCATGGTTATTACACCGTGTTGCAGGAGTGACCAGTGAAAGAATTGAAAGTAGTGCCCTTTTCCTTGAACCTACCTAATACCATACTAACACAATTTGAAAGGCTGTTGTTTTCCTTCAGGAAAGCCGTTGCTTTCCTTCAGTTCTGAAATCTGGAAGACTTGATGGGAATCTAAATACAAGTCTATTTAAAATATTAAATGTATTTAAATACAGTCTACAAGTCTGACCAGACTTGTAGAAAATTAATGACTATAACAAGAGATGATAGTGATTTAAGAACCTTTTGAGTGGAAGTTGTGCAGGTTTTTTTTATACCAACTTTGAGCAGTCTATGAATGTGCAACTTGCACTATTGAAATCTGGTCTATATGACCTCACTCAACACTGCACTTATAATATAAAACCAATCTGTCCAATTACTCTGCATGGCTGGGTCTTGCCCTTTAATAATGCAATTGGATGTATTAAATGTTAAATTTAAGAAAATTATGCAGATTTCTAGGACAAGGCATTCTGCCACCTCCTTGTCACTTCCCACTGCCTGTCTGTGCCTCTAATGATAATTCCCAGCCTTGTTTATCTCTGAAAAGCTGTAGTGATTTAGGAAGTAGTATTTTAAGATTTAAATGAGAGTATTAGGAGAAATTCACCATATATTTATTCTGTGCCTTTATATTCAAAGAACAATTGGGTCAGTGTAAGTGGGTAGGGACAAAATAAAAAAGGCAACACGTTATATGATGTACACTTAGCAAGAGGTATCAAGAATAATGAGAAATAGTTCTGTAAATGCTTGGGGAATGGGGAGGTGGGGAAGCAAGAAAAAGATTTGGAGGGATGAGGAAGGGAAAACCATGAACAAAAGGGACATTGAGAAAGCTGAAATTCTTATCTTTTTATCAGCCTTCCTTTGAAAGAGTTAGCTGCAGTCCAGTGGCTAGCACAGTTAGTGCTAGGGAGAAGGTAGAAAGATCTTGTTCTTATACTGAGAAAGAACATGTTACAAAGTACATCCATAGAGTACATAGATGACTGGGAAAGCAGAAAAGAGAATATTTACTTTTTTAAAAAGGGAGGGCGTAAAAGAGAAGAGTCAGATAATGAGTTTCAATTCCTGGAAAAATACTGGAAGAATTAATCCAGAGCTTGCAAGACACTGGGTTTGGAAGAACAAAGGAGATGAATACTGGCCAATGAATATTTTTCAGGAATAAATCATGTAAAATCAAGCTGATTTCCTTCTTGGAGACGGTTACAGGCCCTGGGGATAAGGAAAAAACAGCAGACGTCTTGAAATTTATCCTTAGTCAGGATTCTGACTTGCTTTGCTTGACATTTTCATAAGCAAGTTAGGCAAGCAAGAGATAATAAAACTGCTTTTGTGTGAATGAATGCCTAGAAAGATTGTTTCAGAATGGAAAGCAGTGCTGGGCATGGAAATGTTTTGTTCCATGTCCAGTTCTGCTTGTTTTTTTCATTAGTGACCTCAGGAAATGGACTACTTGAAGATGATATTAAGTGAAGAGATGTTTCAAATATGGTGAAGGTTGAGATTAGGATTCAGAAAGATCTGGACAAATGCGGGGAGGAAGGATCTGAAAGACAAATATTTGCTAAAAATAGATGCAGAATATTTGGCTTAGGAATAATTCCTTGAAAAAAAAAATACTAGCTTCTGGAACAATTGGCTAGGTAGTCATTTTACAGAAGAAGATCTGAGGGTTGTGGTGAATCACTAGCTGAATCAGCAGTGTCATGCTGTTGCAAAATGGCAAACTGGGAGTTATAAACACGATTACAGCCTGTAAGCCTTGTAAAATAGTCCTTTTGCTCTGTGTTGATAATGCCTTTACCAGAATACAGCAACAGAAAGTACTAAATCAGTTGGAGAGTATTTAGAGGAGAAAAATGAAAATGATCAGAAGTCTGAAAGTCATGACTTCTGTAGCAAAAAGGAAAGAGTTAGGTTTAGACAATGTAGAAAAGAGATTGTTTATGGGAGACATAGTAAACGACCTCAAATAAATAAAGAGGTCTTACAAAGAGGTCTTTGCTGTATTTGTTTGGTTAATGGGACAATTACTAGACTTAAATTGCAATAAGAAAATTTCAGGTTAGCTATGGGAAAAGGCTTTTAACTGTACAGATGGTGAAGGACTGTAATATATTACCGAAGAAAGTTGTCAAACTGTATGAAAGATGGTATTTTAAGAACAAGTTGAACAAATTTCCATGGAGAAGGGGTATGAATTCCCTGACTGCATGAAATCCCTTCCAGTCCTGTTCTTTGTCATTCTAATGTTCAGTTAGAATGTTTTGTGAATTAAAAGTTAAAACAAAGGTCTATTGTAAGACTTTCTGAAGTGTTTTGAAAGTAAGAAAGCCAGTATGTTGCTTCTGACTGTATTGTTGTTTTCTGTCAAAACTGCATTGTTGAATGGTTAAGAATGAATTACTGTCTATTGGCTACGTGGTAGCATTTATCACTCCAGTTCACAGAACTGGATTTCTAATTGATGGTTTTATTGAGAGATGACTAGCTACTCACAAATTTGCAATTGTTCATAGAGTTTCATAAATCATTAAATTAATTTCAATTTAATATTACTTAAATAGGAAAAACATGGAGAACATTTAATTGAAAAGATGCATTGTTTTTATAATTTGAGACATGAAAGCATGTCTTAGAAACTTAGGTTTGCATATTTCAGTGATGCAGTTCCTTTATGTCACTACATTTAGAGAGGTGGGAGGGAAAGATGATCAGAAAGCCTGTCTGCCCCATCTTAAGTGACATAAAATCTAATTAAACCTTCATGGGAGTTATTTTGGGTACAGATTAAGTTCAGACCCCAAATCCATATGTTTTTATTTCAATGTGTACACTGTGGAAAACAATGGATTTTTAAAATGTAAATTTGGGGTCCGAATTCCGTGTTGCTTTACAGTAATTTGTAGCTAAGCTCATATTCACTAATTTTTTTATTTTGTTTTAATTTCAGATAAATATGAGAGACAAGCCAGTAAATATTGGAATGAATTTTACAAGACTCATAAAAATAACTTTTTCAAGGATCGCAATTGGCTGTTCCTGGAGTTTCCAGAAATTCTTCCAGAAAAAAGGAGAGAAAGATTGAAAACAGAAGAAAGATCTTCAGAACTCACAAAAATAAAGAGTACCAACAGGTTTTCACACAAAGATGAAATGTTTGAAGAAGGAGAAAAATATTTGAAGAAAAGTTACAAAGGTGGTTCTACTTCTGTACAAGGAGATGTATATAATAAAACCCAAGCAAAGTCTCTTACTGACAATCCTCAGGGTAAAAACGATGGAGAAGAACTTGGCAGGCTTGAATCCTTCCCTGGTAGTGATGCCACTTACAGAATATTAGAGGTAATGCACTGCACATGTTCCTACCCCTCATGTAGAACTCCACTTAATTCTCAAAACCCTGGTAAAGACTCTTAGTAAGTATCAAGAAAGTAAACATTTAGAATTTGACAGACTACAATCATTTATGGCAGAAACTTTCAGAGAAACCTAGGATCTGAGCTTTGTTTTCCCCATAAAGTTTCTTCCAAATCAGAATTTAGGGCTAGATTTTGAGTCAGTTTTCACTGGAAGCTGGGTTTCTAATTTCCTAAGGAAAGTTATTTCTTAAAGTGCAAGTACTTGATGCATTCTTGCCAAATGGTGAAATTGGGCAAGAATACTGCATTTTCCTGTGCAGATGGAGAGGTGGATCCTCACTAACTTTAGAAAGACATACAGAAGAAACATGATCATAGAAGTGATTTGAGAACTGTAGTATGATATGTTGATACCTTTTCTGTCCAACATACCTTCATGTCTAATGGGTCCTACCTACCAATAGACAAAAATAAGACAAAAATAAAAAACATAGGAGGTCTTATTTGTTCATTTATTTTAACTTTCTGTTTCTCTTCTGATTTTAGGTTGGTTGTGGTGCTGGAAACAGTGTCTTTCCTATTTTGAAAGTTCTATGGTATGTAGTATGGATTATATTTTGAAAGTTCTATGGTATGTAGTATATAGTGGTATGTATGGATTTTCAAATGTCAAAGTTCTATTTTCATCTTATTTACTTTCTTCAGTTGTTGGTGCTAGACCAATGCTGCAGGAAGTGTTAAGTGGACTGTTTTCCAGCCCTGAAATTTGGATTGTTTGCAGATCATAGATAATGCTGGTAGCATCAATACAAGATATTCCTCATACTGGTCAACCTTAGTTTTTGGGGGACCATATTTGCTGACAGGGTTTGTCTTCAGGTGCATTCAGACCGATTTCTCATAGTTAATCTTGGGCAGGTGAATACTCTCTTTTCTTATATGCCATTGTAAAGCTATTAGGTATCTTTTCAAAAAAGCCAAAATCAGAGACAGTAGGTAATGGCATACGATCTACTGGTAATAAGTTGTATTATTTCTGAATTTGGCTAGTACACTTTGTCATGTTGCTCAGGTTTTAGTGTCAAGGCAGGTACAAGTCCTGCTTTGCATTACTTAATTCCTTGAAACATCTTAATACACTTATCTTCCTGTTTTAGAAAAAGCTGTTATGACAGCATGTCCTCCCTTCCATGTATGCAGGAAGGTTTTATTGGTATGGCTTAGTATGTATCAAGGGTTGAAATAGATTTCTTTTATTCATGCCTCCAAAAGCTTGAATACAACAGAGTTCATTATTCTATAAATGAATTCTAATTGCTTGCATCACTACTGTACAAAAATACTCCACTTGGCAGATAGGGAAACAGAGCGGGAGGAATCAAGAGATGCACCAGGCTTGTATATGAAACTTATCAGTGTTAGCAGTGCATCTTCATCCCACAATAAATGCTTTGCTTTAGTCAGCATGTAATGAAAGGGGAGCCCCGTTTCATATGAAAAGTTTGGAAAATAACGATATATATATATATATATATATATATATAAAAAAAAGTTATCATGTGGCTGTATTAAAAAAGAGGAGACAAACTTCTGTGTTTTCATCACATTAGTGAGGCATTAGTCATAGGTTGGCATTTTTGATAATTAAGAATCCACTCATTAGATATTTTTCTTGGAGATCTCTATTGTTGTGCAAATCCTTCGATCAATCAAATCAGTTGGCTCACTGAACAACTTGCTCACTGAACAACTCACACACTTGTCTTGTATATGACCTGATGGAAACATCTCTTAGCAGCCTTGGCTTTATAACAGTTGGTTTTACTCTGAATTTAATAGTACAAAACTCACCCCTGTATACCTATAAAAAGAAGCCAGTATCAAGTATGAGTGTACTCTGGCTACAGAAAAAATTTCCGCTTAGGTTTGTAATGTAACTTTTAAACTGCTTCTCCCTGTCCCCCTTAAATTTTAAGTTAATGCTTTTTGATACAATGCATCATGAAATCACCATCCAGATCAAGCTGTGTCTTTGTTTTAAGTTGACCTTCTACATAGCTCCTATTCTGTTGTAAAAAAAAAAAAAAATAGAATAACATCCTAATAATTCAATTAGGTCATCAGCTTAACCTTTCCTGAGGGACTGGCTGGGTCCAAAGCCTGGCTGCTTGTCCTCATCCATGATAAATATCTAAACTCCTCAACTCTTATGGTGGGCACAAAGCTGTTAAAACTTTTGCTGAGCAGCAAGGATGGAATATGTTTTGGTCCACAAGAGTTCTTCTGTTGAGCTCTCAGAGAGATGTCACTCAGCTGCATGTACTGAGATCTTATAGACGCTGTCAGAGTTTGATTTGCTTTCTAATGAAGCCATCTATCCAAAACCTCAAATATTTTTAAAGAGAGATTAATTGATCATGAGCTGGCTGTGAGTTCATCCCTTGGTAGGTTTTGAGGGGGTTGCTCAGTTTCTCTTAAATATATATTTTTAAGGTAAAAAGAAATTCTCCCAAGAGTTACTGGTATCTCATGAATAGTACAAGAAAATTTGCAGCTGGCTTAGTCTTGGATGGGAAAGGAAGAGAAAACAGTGCTTCAGGAAACTCTTATTCATCTTGGTTGACAAAACTAAGGGGATAATGGAGGGAAACAACCAATACTGCTTGCTTAATCTAATTAGAAGCACAGCAAGGTGGCATGGGGGAACCCAAACATCTACAGAACTGGATGACTTTTGCAACACCCCCACCCCTGCCCAAATCATATTGCTAATTAAACTGCATACAGGGGCTAATGATAGAGACTTAAAGCAGTGCTTCTGTAAGAAAATGTGACCTATTAATGTGCATTTATGTAATACAACACTAGGACATTGTCATCAATCCTGACAGCCCTCTGTGACCTTCTTTCTTTGCCTTTTCACTTCCTCCCTGACAAGGCTATAATTCTCCTTTTTATACTAGCTGCCTGTTGGTATTCTTATGAATTTGTCTGCCCTATTGGTTCATTACAACCTATGTGGCTTTCCATGTGGTAGACATCAATAAGACATGCTTGATCAAGCCTGTGGAGAACCCTAAAGGGCCTTCTGTAGTTCCATGAACACTGATGTAGACTTTCATCTTTTACAATAATAATTTTTTAACTCATGTTGGTTTTGTTTTCTTAGCAATACACCTGGAACATTTCTGTACTGTTGTGATTTTGCTTCAGGAGCAGTGGAGCTGGTAAAGGTAATTCATATGCTCGCTTTAGAGTACCTTGTAAGCCTGTAATTCAGGAGGGTGCCAGGAAGCCGTCTTCATGAAAAAAGAATGTAATAGCTTTGACAACTTTTAACTGAAGTTTTCAATATTCCAAAGAACAAAGTCTTACTGTATGTGGAGAGGAATGAATACCATCAGTGAGCCTGCTTCTCAGCTTGAGTATGATACCAGGCAGAATAGACTTTTATATGAGATGTTTTACAATGCTGAAAATTGAAGAAAAAAGTTTCTTGAGTCACAGTAAACGTATTAACTACTACTGTTCTCTCTGTGTCTCTTTTCATCTTTTTCCTGACAGTCACATTCGTCCTACAATTCAGCCTGGTGTTCTGCCTTTGTTCATGATGTGTGTGATGATGCTTTACCCTATCCTTTTCCAGATGAGATCCTGGATGTCATTCTCCTTGTCTTTGTGCTTTCTACTATTCATCCTGACAGGTAAATGAAGACAAAAGGGCAAAGCAAATGGGTTAAATCTCTTTTATCACCAGAGGTTTTCAAGAATAGCAAAATAAGATAATGAATCCTTAATATATTATTTAGAAAACTGCAATATATATATATTTATAACAAGGTATTCTAAATGCTCTTTCCCATTTTCAGGCTTCAAGAGAAAACCTGGTCAGGTTAATTCGTTAGCGAGCCTCCCCTCTCCATCAAAATACAAGGGTGTATTGTAACTAAATACATCCCTATTAAAAGTGACAGTGATTCAAGGCAATTATGATAAAAAAAAAAACAGACATCTAGTCTTTTAGAAGGAAATTGGTTTTAGTGATCAAAACCAAACACTCTTGATTTGACATCTTACAATATGTTGATAAAGACTTAGGTTGCTGATTTATACACACACAAATGCTTACATGCAGGCCTTTTAAACCAAAATGCATTCTGAATTTTGTAACTTGTTTTGATTAAGAAAACTTGATCTAATTTTCATGCATAATGTTATGCTGAGTACTGTTAGCCTTGTTACTAATGCCTGTCAATGTCTAATGAACAAAACTTTATGACTGTTAAGGCTGCCTGATTGTGCAAATGCCCTTTTTAATGGGAAAAATGCAAAAGAGTTGCATGTAAGTTAAACTCCTTTGACTGTTCCTTTAACTAGATCATATGAAGGGAAATACATGCTGTAGTACATTTACTTTAAGAACATCATTAAAATGGGCTTGGCAAACAACAGTATTTGCCTAAGTCTGAGAACCGTTTCCCTGCCTGAGTTATTAATGATTAGCTTTGCAGAAAAATCTTTCCCATATAGGATATTGCTCCTTCCTGTTTGTTCAGAGATGAGCACATGAGTCATGCAAAGTCTGGGTCCAGATTTCAAAAACAATTCAAGCAGTAGATTTCAGATCTCTGTAACTGCGGTGATACTGCCAGGAAGGAATTGGACAATAGAGATGCATTCATTCAATTGCTTTGCCTGTAGAAGCAGTAATCAGATGTTCTGTCAGAATTTCTGTGGACCTTTTCCTGTTAGCCTTTTGGGAATGTGTTTGGTTTGTCTGTCTGTTTTGTTGATTTTTTTTTTTTTTTTTTTTTTTTTTCCTTTCCTCTCCTCCCTATATCATAATCTAAAGGCTGACATGGATGCTTGTGTGTGTGTGTGTATACACACATGAAGGTTTCTGTGTAATTACCTGTGTTGTAAAACCCACTTTCCAAAGATTTGTTAGTCATTACTGTCATCTCCTAGAATTAAAATGACTTCATAAAGGTAACTGTAATCCAGGTTCATCTTGCTCAGTATACATTTTTTTTCTGGAAACTTTGAAAGTCACAAATGAAAAAGAAAACCAAGAAAATGATGACGCAGAGCTTAAGTACTTTGGAGACCTGGAAAATACATAAGAGGGACACATTTGTATTCAGCACAATTGTTACTTAGAGATTTCTCTTCAGGCTGTTGTGCTTAGGTTTTGATAATTGCTACTCTTGTACCCCATTTGTACACACTTAAATTCTGCCAGAAAATCCCTCTGAAAGTTGGTTGCAGAATTTGTAAGGTATTGAACTTCTTGAAGCTGTATTATTAATGTGCTGTAGTCATACAGATGATATTTCTCAAAGCACTTTCACATTTTGTGCATGTAAACATTTTCTATATTCACAAAACTCAGGTTGATATGGGAAAAGTCTGTAATACTTGTCTTGAACAGTTTCTTAATCTTAGGTGGTGCTGCCTTTTCTGTGTGTCTGTGACAGCATGCGTTGTGTTGAGCATAGGCAAAGTCTGTGTTGAGCATAGGCAAAGAGGACAACTTTTGAAGCACTTGGCCTCCTCTCAGGGAATTATGTGCTTTAAAAGTGTATGCTGCTTTTTGGTTTTGTTTGTTTGTAGACATGATATTGTTTTCTGCTGAACTACATCCTAATTCTGTCCATTAAAAATGAAGGTAAAATACCTGTGCTGCTGTTGCATAAGGACCAAATTGCATTAGTGCTGGAGATCTAACTTTCTTGGGGCAAGGAGGTAGGGCTGCTTGATAGATAAGGGATGGTGTAAGGATGTTCACAGTACACAGTAATGGTTTGCTGACTTTATATAGTTAAGTAGGACTTAATTCTTCTTTAGCTCTTTTCATATACTGCATCCTGCCTTTCCTTTCCATTCATTTTGCATTCACTCTGGCTCCACATCTTCTACATGGTCTATCCACTTCCCTGCAGGAGGAAGGCTTGAATTAAGCAAGTGTGCAGACTGCCTTTTGTAGCCTAAATCTTTGTTTATTCTGAAAGAGTGAGACAAACCTAAGCCATTATTCATGACTCTGCAAAATATGAAGCTCCAAAGTAAGGTTAAAAAGTGAGAATGAAGATGCTCTGGTCTAGTGAAGGGGAAAGAGTCTGTGTATGTTACTTATCCCTATCATGCATGCAGCAGACTGGTGTAATCTTGGTAAGGAAGAGTTGATGTTAGATACACAATTTTGGAGTATGCAGACTTTGCTGATCTAACTAGCAATATCCTTTGATGGAGTTCTGCCAGATTCCTCTCCTGAGATGCTACTCAGATTTTTTCTTTCCATCCTCAACCATTACCTATGGAGATACTGTTTCTGTGTGTATGATCAGTACCTCCATAAAGAAATCAGATGTTTTCATCTGCCTTTCAGGCCCGGGATTTTGCTATGTACAGTAAGAAGGCTGAGTCTAGCTCACCAGTGCACACAGCTAGCTGTTCATTCATTGTCATCTATCTGCCTGACCGATATGACCCACATACTCAAAAACTCTGTTATAATCCATCTTTGAGATTCTGTTCAAGTGAAGGAAAAGGGCTTCTTTTTTCTTTCCAATTTGTATTCTCTTACAGTTCCTTTTAAACTTCTGATTTCGAGGCTTTTTTTGTACAATTCTTGCTGTTCACTAGTTCTTGGCCTTTTTGTGGTAAATATAGACACATCTTCTCACTGTAGTTTCAGAAATCTATGTATATTTCTAGCATTTAGAAAAAAAAGCAGTTATGCTTGCAAATTTCACCAGTATCCCATCTATTTTCTAAGGATGCAAGGTGTTGTAAATAGGTTGGCTAAACTACTGAAACCTGGAGGAATGTTGTTATTTCGAGACTATGGAAGGTACGATACAGCTCAGCTTCGTTTTAAAAAAGGTAATTCCTGAATGCTTTTGAAGTTCGCTGTTCATTTTAACTCTTTTTGCAAAAAAAAAAAGTGACCTATCTTTTTTCATTACTGCTCTAATTTCTTAGGTCATTGCTTATCAGAAAATTTTTATGTACGAGGAGATGGAACCAGAGTATATTTCTTTACCAAAGGTATGAAATGGTGTAGTTTTATTGAAAGGGTTGCATGTCTTTCAAGATGATTTGGGCTATAAAAGCTCATTTTAGGATTTTTTACTTTTTTTTTTTAATTCTCTGCTTTTACAAATCCCGAAGCTTACTGTTTTAAGAAAATAATTCCTCTTCTGTGTACACTTGTTGTGTTTGTTGTCTGTAAGCAATCTTGCAGTACATCACTGGAAACTTTGTCTAAGTGTCTTGCGTCTAATAGTATGCTCAAATTCTGTTATTTAAAGAGGTACTTGGTTTCTTTCTTAAAATTGAGATAAGCAGGCTTGGAAGGACAGTTGGTAGCAGTGCTTTGATCTTTTGCTCTGCTTTGTTGGTGACTCTGAGCTGTGAGGCTGCTTGCCCACCCAGTCACTTAGTTCTGTTGGCAGTCAGCTTAAACTGGTGTATTTTAGCTTGGCTACTGGAAACTGTGAAAGTGAGTATCACAGTACTTTGTTTTTTTTATGCTCTGCAACCTCAGCTTTGAGCAATAGAGGTGGATCAGGATTTATCCCAGTCTGAGTAATTTTAGAAGTGAGGTGGATGTGGGACATGTATGGGAAACCACTTGAATTCAAAGAACCTTCTCAGATTTTAGATGTCTTGTCTTGTACTTACTCCTGACAAAGAAGCTTAAAGTTTTCCAGTGGTGACTGACAAGAAGGAGATAATTACGTTGGCATAAATGTGTGGATTGTCGTTTGGCAGGTGAATTAGCTTTATCTTGATAATATGTGAACAGTAACCAAATGGCATTTTGTTTTCCTCAACTCTGGCCTACTGAACTTTCTGAAGAAAGGGGACCTATGAAAGCCATGAATAATAACCAATGTGGTTTGGGCTTCAACGTAACATTTTTTACTGTAATACAGCTTGAAAGTTGTGAAAATGAATTTCAAACAAAGACATTTTGCAGGCAGTTTCATTGATCTTTCAAATCTCAAACCAGATTTAGTTCCATCTTTGGTTGAACTGCAGGTTGTTAATTACAACATTCTACAAATATATTTTTTTAATTATAATAATCTTCATATGAGAAAATAGATGAGGTATGGAACATGTTCACCTTGGCTGGATTAACTGAAGTACAGAACTTAGTCGATCGGCGATTACAAGTAAACAGGAAGAAACAAGTGAAAATGCAGCGAGTTTGGATTCAAAGCAAGTTCCAAAAACCATTGCTGCTATCTCCAAATGATTCTGCAGAAAACATCAAAAGGTGCCCTTAATTGTACCACAAGCTCCAGAAACTGAGGCAAATTTGGGTATGTATGTTTCCCATAAATCTTGTGTTTATCAGTTGAAAAGGGCAAACATGGAACTGAGAACTTTCTCCTGATTTTCTTCTTGTAAATTTATGTATGTGAAAATGATTGGGGCAGGGGGAAGGGAAGGCATTTCTTACTTCTGCTTTATATGCAGTAAAGGGATATGCATTTATTTATTCATGTGGCCAGGTACTATTTTATTTCCATGAATATGAGTAGTCAGTAAGTAGAAGCATGTAACTCATTCCTGTTGAAATTCACAATATGTAAAAATTTTAGAAGAAACATAACTGTTTCAGAGATTTAGAGAAACGGAGTATCTGTTCTTACTATTGTGTTAATTTCTGGGTCATGTGTCTTTTAACTACTGTGTGTCTTGCAACTGTATTTCCTGTTTGGGGGGAAATATCATGGTGCATAAATAATGAAGACAAAATCTCCTTTTGGTTTGCATGTAAGTTATCCTTTCATACTAACTGCATGTGGTATGCATAGGTTTCAGATCAGTCAGTGACTGGCATCCTCCATTGATTGATTTATCCCTCTGAAGTGTCCACTTTTCATCTCTATGGTCATCAGAAACATGCCAAACTCAAGTGTCTGTAACAGCGTAGTGATAAATAACTTTGAAGTGCCATAGATTGTAAACTGAACATCATGTAGAAAAGAATTACCAAAATGCCAGAACAGTGCTGAAAACAAATAGTTAAAATTTGCCTGGATAAATACAAGCATGATTTTTATGATATGTCAGATATGCTAGAGGGAGGGGCAAGAGTACTCCAGAGTACATTTTGTTAATACTTTTATGCAGAATGTAATCACACTAAAATGGCAGCTGGGATATTTTTGTTGTTTACAGAGAGAGGTTTCTTTCTTAGGGCTTGAGTCTTAGAAAAAAGACAAATACTTTTGCATTGACCCTAGGAGGATAGGACTACACTAGTATGTCAAGTGCTTTTAAGAAGAAAAACAAAATTCACACACTGTTTTCAGGTGCAGACCGTGATGCTGAGGCTGTTGAGCTGGCATTTAAAGATGCCATTTCTGCTATTTCAATGTAAATTTACAATCACTCAGCTACAAAGAGGAGAGTACAAGAACCAGGTGAATAAATAAAATAAATCTCTTGCTTCAACAAGGATATAGAATGCGTGTGATCTATAAAATGCGTGCAGCTTTGAGTGCCATTAATACAGTGACACTCTCGAAGTCTCTTTTCTTGCTTTTGTTTTAGTCTGAAGGGTAAGCATGTCACAGCTGGCAACCCATTTTTGTGCAAATAGTTATCTGGTAAGCTAAGTAGAACTGACTGTCTTCTAGAAAAAAAATTAATGATCTAAATTTAGATGCTCAGTATCTTCATTCCCTCTGACAAGATGAGAGACCTGCTTAATTTTGTAAACCCAGATCTGTTCCCAGAATGAGGTGTAATAAGGAGTCTTTGAAGGTAGAATTTGATGCTGCATTTCTGGTGTTTCTGCACTACCATTAGAGTAAGATACTGTTTTATGAATTAAGTGGCTCAGGAAGTTTGGTTAGCAATGGCATTATTGTAGCCTGCAGTGAAACTCTTCTGATATAAATCAGAAGTTAAAATGTAAGCTGGGTTTTTTTGAGCCCTAGGAGACTGTAGCATCTCTGTGGGAAATATAAATAAGTATCTGTTTTAATTAGGTTGCTACCATGTGCTATTAACTGTGACTTCTGAGTATGCATAGCTCTTAGTCTAGTGCAAAGCATTTTCAGTTGTAGAATTTTCCAGGGTGGTGATGGTGATGATAAGCTCTTGAGCATCACACAATCTTATTCATGTGTGTGATGTAGATTTTCCATGTGTAGAAGCTAATGAAACGTTTGCTTTGGCTCTCACACTGCTGTGTTGATTCTGGCAAGATTTTAATATGCTGTGTTGTTAGCTTAACAAAAATGTGACATCAGAAGAAACCAAACCCTGAAATCTCTTTTGGCCTTGGGCGAAATTGGCTGCTTCTCTTCCACACCTTGGAGTGCAAGTATTGGCTGCCTCTTTTAGAATAGTGGTGCCTGGTTTAGAAGTAAGTAATAAGATTGGCTACTATTTATAAGTGTAGAATATCCACTCTAAAGTGAACTGTAACTACTCTGAACAGTTGTAAGACTGATAGAAGAGGAAATGGACAGAGCCATCATTCCCAATAAGAACTTTTGAATCTGAGTAGAACTTTCTGTGTTTTGGCTTTGTGACATTGCAATTTTCAAAAAGCTTAAGCGAAGACATGTTTTTTAAAGTACTTCATATTATCTGTATTATTTGTGAAAATTAGTATTACAATACTGCCAAAAGAAAGGCGAGTAGAACTACTGAAGTAAAAGAAAGAAGGGAGATGCAGACAACTATATAGGAAATGCAGTTTAAAATAACTTATTGTTAATTAATTTTGGGGGGGTAGGAAATTAAGGCATTGCAAACAAAGTGTGCAATAGTGTAGCATTTGCAATACCAGTATAGAAAAAGGCTGTAAGTTTCACTTTTTGAAATCTGAAGTTATTTCTCTTGTCAGATATGTACCTGAAATCTCTAAATAAATACCAAACATTTTAATTGTTAATTGCTCTGGGTTTGGTTCAGCATGACTCCCTGTGCTGGTAAAACAGACTTGTGAATGTAAATGGCAGTTAGAGGAAGATAATCTTGTTAGAATTGAGTTTTGGCCCCATTGGCTTTGGCTTGCTTTATCAATAGTGTATACTTTTTGCCCATCTCCATTGGTACTGCAGTACATTTACATACAGGGGTACATGAGAATGGTACTTACTGGTTTAGAACTTGTACTTTTAAGCAACTACAAGAGAGGTGTAAAGAAAGCAACGAACCTTTTTTCCTACACTAATTCTGAAGTATCTAGTCAACAACAAATCATATAAAAAAATGTTTATTTGGGTTTTTGTTGTTGTTGTTTTTTTTTTTTTACAGCAAAACCAAGACAGATGCTTGTGCCTTGTCTATAAAACCACTGAATCTGAAGAGGACAACCAAAATGCAGGGCAAACTGGGAGACAGCAGGAATTCTAGTGACAGTAGGGAAAAGTTTCTTGTATTGGAGACTGTTATTTCTGTTCTGTCTTTAGCTGAGTTGCAAGTGAAAGACAAGGAAATCTGCAGGTTCTGCTGTTTAATAATGACTAAGAAATTGTAACAAACCATCCTGAAATTTGTATTAAACACCAGTGGAAATCACATAAATTTTGCTACTTCATTTTGATTTGTGGTGTCATCTTTATTCACTGTTCTGCAGTGTTCTTTCATCTTTGACATATGCCTTGTTTCCCTTTATTCCTGTGCATAGTAGACAAGCAGTTTCCACAGGAGCTATATATACAAACATTTGCAGTAAAGTTTGCTGTCTGGGCTGTTTCTAGTATTAAAGCAAAAGAGTTTTGTTTCCTTCTGTACCGGCCAGATTGCTTTTTATTTTTGTGTGAATGCAATGAATTGTATAGATGATAAATTAATATAGCAGTATTTCCTGTATTTTTAAATTCTTTTAAGCTAAATATAACTTAGGGTATGCTGTTTGTAATGGCAGTGATAATAGCAGACAGCTCATACTGTCTTTCTTCATAGAGTGTCTTCGTAATGGGTGATTGAACAGCCTTGGAAAAAAATCATATATATAATTAAAATATTAATCGCCACTATTGCTCACAGTACAGGTCACTTTGCGTTTCAGTATCTGTAGACTTTTTTCCATGTTTGGAACAAAGATTGGATATTGGAGGGGTTTTCTACACCAGTTATGTGTCAGTTGCCATCCTTTTGAGAATTGGCCAAAAATTGGATAAATCTAAATCTGCTAAATGCAGTTACAGTAAGTGTACAGTCAGTAAGAACAACATGGGTTGCCGTGGGCATCTTGGCAGATTCTTTGTTGTACCTGGTGGTCCAGCATATAGGTCATGCCTAGACTGGCCTTTGAGCTGAGAAGGGAACTTCTCTGTCCAGCAACTGTCCTTTACCCTTTGCTAGCCCTAAGCAACTAGAAGAACAGCTTGCCTAATTGGAAAGCAAGAGCCATATGGGCAGAGGAAGATGATGATGCAGCACAAAGGCAGACAAGAGGATTGAGTGTTTCCTCTGGGAACAGGAGTAAGAAGGAAGCTTGGACATGAAGATGAAATGAGTTGAAGAACTGAGAAACAGAACACCATGGGCACCATATAGGGAGAAGATGTATCAGGAGACAATGTGGTGGGGTAAGGATACTAGCCAAGAAAAATCAGTGAAATAAAATTGAGGAGCCAAGAAGAACAAGATAGGAAATAGGGTGTAACCTGCGTAAACAAAGGACTTGGGGTAAGAATTGGAGGTGGGAAGACCTATCTTCAAAGTCTTTTTCTTCCAAGTGGTACTATATTTTCACATCTTGGTGGATTATAGGTTTTGTCTTTCATCCATATGTGCACAGTGTATTTCAATTTATTACAAAGATGGAATGTTTCATTTGTTGTAGTTTGTATAGGCTATGTACATGTTTGCAACAGTGAGGCAGGTTTATGATACACCTGCTTTTGCTTTTTTCCTTAGAGAACAATGTTTTTACCTTTTTTCTATAGTGACAGAAGCCACAATCCTAACCTCCTGGGAAGCAAATACAAAAGAATAACAGAAGTGTCTGCATCCTGATTGTGTTCAGTCAAGGTGGAACAATTAAATTTACTCCATATATTCTGATGTCGCCCCCTTTCAATGAAGACCAAATCTGCAGATTATCACCTTGAAGTGCCTCCCAATCTCAGTCTCTGTTATACTTGCATTTGTTCCATAGATCTTAAATGAATTTATATGAACTGGAAATACAATTTAAAAGGAAAATAGGAGAATAATCTGAAGGCTTTCTGGGATTATAACAGTTTAGAGAAGGAATATGTTTATTATTTTAAAACCCACTCACAGCTGCAGAGGAGCACTCATCCAAGAGGCTGAAAATTTAGGTTATTTGAGGTATAGTGTACATCATCAAGAATACTAAACCTAATATCTGTTATGAAGCTTTGTTTATTTAACTTGCCCAAAGATACCTTGTCAACTGTTATCATGAAAAACTAGTTGGCAACAAGATTGTAGTAACCTGATCAATAAAATATCCTCTGAAAATGAGACAATGTTGAAAAGGACATGAAAGATTAGGAAAGCAAGTGACTTAGTTTAATGATGGCTAAAACACACTAATGATATATACAATTTAATAAATGTTCAAAGAATAATCTGAGCGTTCATGTGTATCGATACTAAATGAGCTTATAAATTCATAAAAAACATAGACTTGATGTATGCTGCTAGTTATAACAACAACCAAAATGTTAAAATTTAGAAATATGATGTAAAAATAGAATGCTAGATAGTTATAAATGTGATTTTAAAATAGAATTCTCTATAGCTACTGCATAAATCCAGCATATAGCCTTCTCGGTAGTGTGTCCTGTTCAGCTAGAAAAAGATGCAGTACGAATAGGTGATGAAAATTCCTGGAGACATGAAAAAACTTTATATGAAGGCAGGTTAGGGAAATGGATACTAGACAATGTGAGGATGGCATATAACCCTATGTTATACTATTTAGAACATCTAGTTTATCCCTTTACACAACACAAAAAGGTGAACTAGTCACGTTGGCAGGCAGCAAACCTACATTGATACAGTATGCCCTATAAAAACACAAGGAGTCACATTGTTCACAAGGCTAAAAGATTGGTAAGTTACCAAAATTGGGTTATATTTTTCCATTTTTATTTTATATATGTGAATGAGAAAATCTGCATATTTACTGTTTACAATTTTAAAATGCCTCCAGTAAAACTAACCCAAAACCTCAACAATCCTACAACCTTTCTCATTACCTAACATTGCACAGCAGTAGAGCTGGAGAAGAAACCTGAACATGGTCTAGTAGGCACAGTTTACTGAATTAAGAAAAGAGGGGAGTGGTGGCGAAGTAAAAAAAAAAAGGTAACATACTAATTGGCATGACAACATGTAGTCCTGTAGCAATCATACAGCAGTTAGTATTTTATATAGAATGACAAATTCAGTGCAGTGCCTGAGAGGGAGACGTCAGTCTTGCCACACTTTCCTGTCACTTACAACAATATCACTGTAAACTGGCATGTGGACAAGCCAAAACCCAAAGAATAAAAAGAATTATTTTGCTAAAAGAGCATACAATTTATTGATTATGCTTGGTTCAGACTGGCTGTATCAGAGGGTTTGATTGCAGAGCCAACAGGACTTTTTTCTTTATTTAGTGTTAGGCACACTCTAGCTTCCATTTTTTCCCAAATAACAAGTGCTCTTTAAATGGAGGAGCTGCATCTTTGAACTTGAATAAAGGGTTGTTGTGCAGCGTAGGATTTAGTAGATGGGCGTAGAGAATCTGAACCTACCACTAGTCTTTTATTCTACACTAGAAAAAGCTTTGCCATTTTAAGGCTTCTGTTTGCTACATACCCTATTAAGTGCACAGTAGTCAGATGTCATTCTGAGGAATCGGGCAGCTTAGTTTCCAATGACATTGATTACACTCAACAGTGAGAGGATGAGAAAGAGTGGTGGGTGGAGAAGTGAAAAGGCAGTGTGAGGCATTTCAAGGAGGAGGTTTGCATTCCATCACTTACATGTGGGTGACAATCCCTCTGAGAAACAGTTTTTACTCTGAAGTGGAGCAGAGTTGAACCTTCTGTACTCAGGTTTAATCTCCATCCCTGCAAGTGCAGCCTGTAGTCAAATGTGCTTTTACTTAAAGAGAAAATAACAGTAGCAAAAAGCTGCATCTTTAGAATGGAGCTGTGATTTCACAGAGACCCTGGCATGTTAATCCATGGCAAAAATGGGTGTAATTCTCAATGACAACACTGTCTGTTTACACAGGGGCTGAGCTAAACCCAACGATGATACACAGTGCTGTTCAAAATCAATTATTTAATCCTTTTCCAATTTTTGTGATCTAGCAACCAAAGATGTTTTTGTTAATAAAAGATGGCGTGACAAAGCCGTGATTGTCACTGAGCATGACTTGCTTTGAGATAAAAATTGCAGCAAACACTCATAATCTTATTTTAGATAAATATTTCATCTTGTTATTCAGGTGTGAATATTAGTGAGTTGAATAAATACACAGTGATAGTTACCAAACTCTGAAATCAAGTCTGTTTTTAAAATTGGAAACAGCCTGATCTATCCTATACAAAGAGACAACAAAATCGTAGGGGCAAGAAGTCTATGTTTCTTTTTACTGAAGTTCCCAAGGAATCAATGTCATCAACAACCTTGATTTTAGTTTCTTCTTATTTTGCATGTACTTATTTTAATAACAAATGAATGCAGATGAAAAAAGAAACTGCGTGGCACAATCTGCAAAGCATGTAAGTATTAAAATAGTTAACAAACTGCTAAACCACACTCTTCTTCTTGCATCGATTGACTTGAGGCAGAGTAATAGAAACAGTAAATGTTTATTTTACTTTTAAACAATTAATGCTGATAAAAGGCCTCAGGGTTAAATCTGAAAGAATAAAATTTTGTATCTTCGTCTCAGATTCTCCATGTCATTTATGTCAATATAAGTCCAGAAGACATGGAGTTGCTTCAAGGTATCTAATTGTTTGCAATTAGAATCCAGATTAACTGGTCCCTAATATTCCTTGTACAAGTAAAAATGCAAACCTAGAAGTACAAAAATATTCTGTCAGTAAGAACATCTATGTTAACCATTTAAATACTGAAGTCAAAATCAGTTGCACAGAGACAATAGCTCTGTCCAATGCTCTTTACTTTCTTTAAGGGCTGAAATATTGTTTGGGTTTAAGATGCTCACATATCTGTGTTTGTACTTTAGTGTAAGATATTCTACATTTTTTATCCTATGACATTCACTAACAGGTAGTATTAGGAATTAAGATAAGTGATTTACAATAATATGCTTAATACCCATTTTTCCTATGTTTCTCTCTTCTCCTTCTTTTGTGAAAGTACCTGTGAGAAAGAATGCCTATTCTTAAACTTAATAGTCCTTTGAAGTCCAAAATAACAAAATTTGGACTTTGAAAAAAAACAGGAAAGAAAAAAATGGCTTTTTTTAACACATTATCAGGAAGTGAAAATTCATATTTATATTTCCCTGCCTTTTTAGATATCATAGAAATTGTGTTATTCCATTACCAAAAGGCTTTGCATATTGGTATGTGTTTCTAAGGAAATATCAGTAAA